ATATATATATATATATATATATATATATATATATATATATATATATATATATATATATATATATATATTTAGACTAAATAAGTTATTTCATTGAAAATTCCTTCTTTGACATTCTCTATAACACTTAAAATAGCCTTGTTACTTTGTGAAGCATATATATAAGTGATACGTTAGAATATGATTGCAATTACAGTTATTATCTAAATATTGAAGTAATTCAAATGAAGAACAACGCAAATCATTTGATAGTTGAAAGAATGCGTATTTCAAGCCAGAAGATCTGGCTCCCGGAAAGCAAACTAAAATCACACAACAAGATTCCGCGCGAAAACACGGCCCGCGCGCCCGAACTGCATTTAGCTTCCACGTTAGGAAGCATTACATACTGGCGGGTGACTGTGGAGCCGTGCTGTGGTGAATGACAGCGGGCCGACCGAGTTGTTTTTACAGTTTTTAAAGCAGTTTTATCTTGCGTGTCTTTCCCCTTTAAGTCGCTGTTTGCGATGCCAACAAAAACGTCCTTGTCTTTGCCCGAAGACGTAAAGAAGAGGTATGGTATTATTTAAAAAAATGCTAATATTAAGATAATTATGTACTTTATAACATTTCATGTTTAACACTAGCATGCCTGAAAATGTGTCACACATCGCTCTGTTAAAGCCTGTTGAATTTCACCGCTTTCTTTACCAAAGCTAGCAACAGAGCTAGCGTTAGCTTGTTCTCATTCAGCTGGTAGTTCAGACGCTATTAGCTGCTAGCATGGTTAGCTTCATGATGGATGCGCTTCAATGTGAGATTTGGCGCCTCTCAGGAAGTTTTCCTATTTATGTATGTTTATGGCCGTTTAATGTTGCAATATAAAAGCCATTTTGCCTTTATACTTTAGCCTCCTGCTGTTTTGTAATGTAACTTAATTTTAACGTGTTTTGGATACAGGCTGCTGATGCTGGATGAAGATGGATCTACAGAGGAGGTTAGGAAAGTTTGCACCTCTTAAAGCTGCATATATGCAACCCAGCTTTCCAGTTTGAGTTTGTGCTATAATCTAACATTCCTAATAAAATGTATTTCAGGATCAGCTTAAAGAAAAGCTGCGGTTGGTGCATGATTTTCTACAGGATGATGCTCAAGACCAACTGACAAGACTTGAGGAAAAAATGAAAAGCTCTGAAATCTCAAAGGTCAGTGGTTGCTAAAGATCCCCATGTATGTGTTTTTGTTGCTGCTTAGCTACATGCTAAGGTACATCATATGAGATTTATTACAACATTTGATAAAACATTTTGATTCAGTTTTAGAGAGCCAAGCTCGTATTTAAAGTTTTCTGTTAATTTGGATGACGTCTCACATTTTATCACTCGACATTCTGTCCCTTGGAGCAGATATTTCAAATTTGATGTGACTGATGGAGCAGCGGTGGGTATCTGGTTCCTTGCTTTAGTACTGGGCCGAGGACGCATCAAAAAGTTGCAGGATACTGGCCCTGTTATTGATAGTTCCCACATGTCTCCTGCGTTGCAGCAAAACAGCTCCGTCATGATAGTACAGAAAGCCAGATCGTAGCTCTGTTCTTGGTGAAGGAGCCATATTTGATGTAAAAACAAATCAGCTTAAAAAGTAACGATATTTTTTGGTTAAAAAGGAAAAATCAGTTGAGGTGAATATGAGCAAACTATACAAATAAGAAATGATGAGCATAGTTGCCTGATATCCAGAAAAAAAACAAGCTATCTAATACAACTTGATATTATTACAGCTGGATATTGCTTGGATAACTTCATTTAGAGAGGATACTTTCAAACAAAGCTACTAAAGGAAAAATAACTAACGAATAAAGGCCTTTGTGATGCCGATCATAATGCTGTTTATGTAATCTGATCTACCAGTATCCTATCAACACGCCACGTTTCTGAGTCACTTGTTTTTCGGGTCTGGTGCGAACTTTCTATGGGAGGGTTAATAAAGAAATGTAGGTCCATTTAATATACAGTGCATCCACCTTTATTCTTTGTGCTTTGTTTGCATGAATTACTGCAGTGTCACACTGTTCAAAGAAACCAGATATCTTCAGTAGTAACCTCAAGCTTGTTTGCTTTGTTGGTCCTGGTGTTTATTCATCCTTGTCTTATATGTCCATGTAACTGGTTTATGTGCAAGATTATGAGAATATGAATAAAAGTAATTCTGCCGGAAAATGAGATCAGCATCTCAAAGTTTGTTAGCTTATGGAAACATGTAATGCTTTAAGATTGCAGGGTGTATGTCTGCGTTCTCTTTGAATTTAGGGAGAAATAAGAACTTTCTGTGCTCCAGCTATAGAAATGACATTACTCCCTAAATCATTGCCAACTGTCGAGACTTCCAACAGTACCTTAAGCAACCTAGAGTCTGTATCCTCACTACACAGACCCTGCAGTCTTTGATTTCCACATAAAATGAAGAATTCACTAATTTTAAGATGACTTTTGTCCATTGAGCAACACCCCTCTTGTTTTCTCCTTTATTGGCAGGATAAACCACTCCTGTCATTAGTTTTGTTTCCATTACAAAAATGTGCATATCTGTTAATTATTCTGCTAAATTTTAAAATGCCAATTTTTGCAAGTGTGATATTTTCGTAAAATAAGAAATGGAATAAAAAAAACCAGTGTACATTTGCTCATATCTCTTAAAAACAACATGGCAGTGCCTGATGTAAACACATGAGATGTATCCATATCAGCCATGGCTCTAGTTCATTGTTGCTCTTCTTCTTTGTCTTTTACAAGGCAGTAGGTCCAGGGACTGATATAATGCGAAAAAGCTTTTTCCATTGCATTTTTGTGAAATATAAGAATTTCAATGCAACCAGAAAAAAAACTTAATTGAAACATAAAAACTTTTCACAGATAATTAAATCAAAATTGTTTTTTTTTACTGCATTGTTTCAATTTTACAAATACATGTTTCGTTATTGCAATTTGCTCAATTGGGTGGTTAATGGAGACGCATAGATTGTTCTTCGATCAGGATTGGCTGAACTTAAAGAGGATGACTGCTTTAGTTTATATACTTGGATAGAAGTGAATGTGGGGATTTGGTAGCTTTGACTTCAGCAGCAGTTTACTTTTTGTGCAAAACTCTTACATCCGCTTTACTTTACTGATGAGGCTAATATAACCTTGTGGCGTGTTCCTTCCACTAAACTTTCCAATGATTATACATGGAAACGTCAACGTCCAGCATGATGGCATTGGTGAAAAAATTCTTGTATTTAAAAAAAATATATTTTTTTTTTTGGTGAAATAACATTTTCTTCAAGCTGATTTATTGATTTTAAATGGCTGCAAACCATTATAACCATTAGCACATTGCTTGAAATGTTTCAGTTTGTCTTTCCGTCATTTTTATGGTGAAGTTGTTCTGGATAATCTTCTAATTCCTAGAGGTGAACCTCTAACCTCCTCTGTAACCTTTTTTCCTCAGGAGGTTTACATCTCCAAAGTGAAGGTGTTGCTGGGTAAAGAGCTTCATCTTGAGAACGGCTCTCTTGTGGACGGCGCTGAGCAGAACGGAAAGGCGAACGGCTTTGCAAATGGCTCCCACAAAGAGGATGAAGATGTAAATATGGCGACAGAACAGGATGAAACTGAAACCAAGTCGCCAGCAGCTCCCAAAGGGAAGGGTGGACGCAGGAGCAAGGCAAACTCTGAAACTAAAAGTTAGTCTGGGACCTGTTTGGCATTTGTTCAACAAATTGTGGTTTTAAAGAGACTCAATTCACAAAATCTCTGACTGTTTCAGTTAATCAGAATTTATTGTTCTTTTTTTATTTTCCTCCTAAAATGTTTTTCTAGAATCCCCAAGCAGTACCAGAGTAACAAGAAACAGCGGGAAACAACCAACCATTGTGTCCATGTTCTCCAAAGTGTGCGTATAAGCCCCAGTTCAATTCAGTTGGTTTCCTTCAAGAGACAAAATATGCTTCTCTCAGGAAGCGGCTGGTGTTTGAATTATTCTTTTTTTTTTACAGTCAAAAGCGCAAATCAGAGGATCTGAGTGGAGAAGCTGTTAATGGAACAATTGAACCAAAGCAGGAAGACGACACTGAGGAGGTGATATTAGTAATCGTCCAGTTGAAAAAATAAATACCTGCTCAGGGTGAGACTTCCTGTGTTTGATAATATAACATTGTTGCAGATCCAGGAGGAGAAACGCCTCAAGGTGGATTCGGATGAAAAGTAAGTCCTATGCACCTAGATTTTTACTCCTAGAGTGAATGTGAAGCTAACTCTGTATTTGGTGTTTGCAGACCTGCTACGGAGGAGTCGAAATCCAAAACGACTAAAACAGGACTTACTGCAAAGGTATCAATGTTGGTTTTTTTGCTTTTGTTTTTTGACAAATAGTTTTACTGCAGTAGTTTCAACAGCTGTAACATTATTGACCTTTCTGTGTCTCTCCAGACTCCACCTCCTAAATGTCCTGACTGCAGGCAGTATCTGGATGACCCTGATCTGAAGTTGTTTCAAGGGGATCCCGATAACGCGGTGAGGCCGTCGCATTTTTACTTGCCCCATTACAGCACAATGTTGTTTCATTGCAAACCTGACTCTGCTCTGCTTGCCCCCTCAGCTTGAAGAGCCAGAGATGTTAACTCACGAGACTCTGTCACTGTTTGAGTCAAATGAGGATGGATTTGAGAGCTACGACCATCTGCCGCAGCACCGCATCACTAACTTCAGGTTGGCAATGCGCTCTGTATCCCAGCTGCTGTATGGATTGTGAGCTGTTGTCAGGCTAACCCTGGTGTGCTGTCTTTGCAGCGTGTATGACAAACGCGGCCATCTTTGCCCTTTTGACTCGGGGCTGATTGAGAAGAACGTGGAGCTTTACTTCAGCTGCTATGTGAAACCCATCTATGATGACAGCCCAGGCTTAACCAGTACGACTGTTACCTTTGATATGTAAACCATATGTTGTTGGCTTCTACTAAATATGCTCTCATCTAAATTTGACTTAGATGGTGTTTTTGCCAGAAAGCTTGGACCCATCAATGCCTGGTGGATAACTGGTTTTGATGGAGGGGAAAAGGCTTTAATCGGTTTCACAACATGTAAGTAGCGCTCCTGTTCCCACCAGATACTCAGTGCTGTGTATGCCACCTGCTAATATCATCTCCCCCGCCTCTCCAGCTTTTGCTGACTACATCCTGATGGACCCCAGCGACGAGTACGCCCCCATTTTCGCCCTGATGCAGGAGAAGATCTACATGAGCAAGATTGTGGTTGAATTCCTGCAGAAAAATCCGGACGTCACCTATGAGGACCTCCTCAACAAGATCGAGGTGAGCTCTGGTGTGAAGTTTGATCCGTTTCAGTGTCTCGCTCTGCAACATATAGACCAGCTCTCCCTGCTGTCCGCAGACTGCTGTCCCACCTGCAGGACTGAACTTTAACTGCTTCACTGAGGACACGCTGCTGCGCCACGCCCAGTTTGTGGTGGAGCAGGTGGAAAGCTATGATGAGGCTGGCGACTCTGATGAGCAGCCCATTATTGTTACCCCCTGCATGAGAGATCTGATCAAACTGGCAGGAGTCACTCTAGGAAAGAGGTAAGATCTGTGCTCATCAGCTGAAGTTGACAGCCTCTAATAAACACTTTGAATTGAACGTGTTTTTCTATTCCTGTATTTATGCTCCTTTCTCCCCATCTCCTCGATGTCTAATATTCCTTTAACATTTCCTAATGCAGCATGCAGCTGTACTGGTAGGTAGGCTTTACTGTGACTGCATATTTAGCTTGTCTGTTGGTGTGTTGATGTGAAACATGCTCAGAATAAGATTCATACCATAGTGTGTGCCAATATTTTATTTATTTTTTTCTCCAACCAGGGTTTTCTTTATAGTCAAACTTATTTTCCTGGTAAATTTGAAATATATCAGCTGCATAAATTGGTGAAATCTGTTGCAGTCTTGAACTACAGTCTATATGTATTTTTAGATTTTGAAACAAATTATAAAATTATTTATAAAGATGAAGCACAGGTTTTGTTTTATAGGGTATTATTTGATGTGTAAACATGAGAAATGATTAAATGCATAATTTCCAAGCTAATTAAGAGAAATTGCTCTGAAAACATATTTGATGCTTTCATTCTGTCTTAAAAATGCCATTTAAATATTCATTATAAAAAACACTTTTGTGTCTCTTGACTAGTATTTGTTATTTTAGTACATTAGCTAGTTTTTTTTTATATAATTTTAAGTCACTTAAGCATTGCACACACATTCATTAGAGAGAAGGGCATCCTAGAATAGAATTCAACTTTATTTTATCTGCAGTAGGAAAAATGTAGCTGATTTATTAAAAAGGTCAGGCTGCTCAGCTACTTTCATTAAATGCATTTTCCATCCTGGGTGTTTTTATCTTTTCTTTTTCTTGCTTGACGCGTTGCATGGCTTCATAACGCCATAGCTCCAAATGTGATCAGACGAAACTGAATGAGCTTCTCTAAATGGAAAAACTTTGTGCTGTTGACAGGAGAGCCGCCAGACGACAGGCCATCCGCCACCCAACCAAGATAGAGAAGGACAACAAAGGACCGACCAAGGCCACCACCACCAAGCTGGTCTACCAGATTTTCGATGCCTTCTTTGCTGACCAGATCGAGCAGAATGATAAAGAGGGAGGAGCCAAACGGCAGCGCTGTGGAGTCTGCGAGGCAAGCTGCTGAAGCTCTCGTTTAAAACTAGGCCAGGTGAACCTTTTATGTGCTGCTAAACTAATGACATGCTTTGAATTTCCTTCACTCTTGTCTAGGTGTGCCAGTCTCCCGATTGTGGTAAGTGCACAGCCTGCAAGGACATGATCAAGTTTGGAGGAAGTGGCAAAAGCAAGCAAGCTTGTAAGCAGAGAAGGTGAGGCTGTCAAAGCAGGTTAAAATAAAACAACTGTACATGCCGTGTGGCTTTATTGTTTAAAGTTTTGGTATGAACTTGGAAAGATGAGGATACATTTGGAGCTAAACTATGGGTGCATTTCTTTGTTAGATGTCCAAACCTTGCTGTGAAGGAGGCTGAGGATGATGAGAATGTTGAAGAGGAAGATGCTCCACCAGAGAAGCCCAAAAAGGTTCTCCAAACTAAGAAAAAGAGACAAACCCAGTCCAAACTTGCATGGATCGGTGAGCCTGTGGAGGTAGGTTTATAGGTTCCTTTTATTGCCTAATGAGGTTACATTTATAGTCCAACGGTTTAATCTGCATAAGAGCAGACCTGAGAGAAGGCTTTTTTTTTTTTTTTTTTTTTGGAGAGACCTGCTTCTGAAGTGTCTGGTGACAAAAGCCGTATTGACCATGTGGAGCACTATTTACAGTATTCAGTTCCAATCAAATCAGTTCAGTGGAATGTTGGACGTTCAGCAGCTCTTTCCAACCTGGTTGAGGGGAAAAAATGATATCTAGTGTTGGCGTACCAAAGTTTAATTTATTATTTATATATATATATATATATATCAGGACGTAAAAAGGCACACCTTTCTGTCCAAAAATTTCAAAGAGCTTCTCTCTTTAATGACTGTTGTATGTCCCACCTTAAATCACCATTCTGCAACATGATTTGCAAAGCTGTTTTGGGACAAAATGGATTCTGTTTGTAAACGGACAAATACCACCAGAATTCAGCTTCCATGCAAGGTTAGCAGATTTCCTTTCAAACAAATGCTGTTCTGCCTCTGCTCTGCCAGCAGGGGGCAGCCTTAACATGGCAGTGCATCCTTCAACAAGACTCACAGGATGAAGGTTGTTGCAAAATATTTGCCTTTTAGGGTTTCCCTCCACTTATCTGCAGCTGATGTTTTAAGGTTTAATTGAGGAAGTCAAACAGATTTGTTTAAACTCATTTAAAAAAAAAAAAAAAACTTGGTGATTCTAATGGAAGAAGCTCATGAGATTACTTTATTATTATGCAAGAAAAAAAGTTATAATCCTTAAATAAACTTTTTTTTTTCCTTTGGGGAAACATTCTTCAAAAACCTGCATATCTGCAAAGAAGCTTAATTAAACCGATTTCTCTGCAGACTGTGGGAAAGAGGCACTACTACAAGAAGGTCTCTTTGAATGATGAAGTGCTGGAAGTGGGAGACTGTGTCTCTGTTTCATCAGAAGATCCATCCATTCCTCTGTATCTAGCAAGGTATGACATTTTCTAAACTGCTCTGACATTTTGTTCAATCTAAGCTGTCTCTGTTTAATGAGCTGCTCCTTTCTCAGGATCACGTCTCTGTGGGAGGACAATAATGGGAAGATGTTTCATGCCCATTGGTTCCTTCGAGGCATCCACACTGTGCTTGGAGAGTCCTCTGATCCACTGGAGCTCGTCATTGTTGACGATTGTGAAGACATGCTGCTCAGCTACGTCCAGGGAAAAGTCAACGTTATGTACAAAGCGCCATCAAACAACTGGTCCATGGAGGTAGATTATAGTTTTACTGCACCTTGTTGTCTTTTTATTTTGAGCTTTTAATTGAGAAAATATTTTTGATGTTTCAGGGCGGGGTTGATGTTGACCTAAAGGTGATTGAAGATGATGGAAAGAGTTTCTTCTATCAGTTCTGGTACGATGTGGAGTTTGCCCGATTTGAGACTCCCCCCAAGATTGAACAATCAGAAGACTGCAAGTTCAGGTAAAAAACATCTGTTTATCAGATACTTAAAAGTCAAACCTGTTTTCATTTTTGCACATTATAAATCAAGGATGTATATATATTTTTATGATCTCTGCAGAGTTTGGTAATCTAGGTCCAGAGTGTAAAAAGCCTGTACAGAGATTAGTTCCAATCACTTGCATATCTAGCTCTACAACACACTGGGAGCGAATCACCTGGTTATGTGAACAGGATGAAGGAAAAGTTGGAATGATTTTTTACATTAACTCTGTATTTTTCCTTTAGATTCTGCGGCAGCTGCGCCCGTATTAAACAGCGAGATGAGCAGGCAACACCTCGAGCATTTGAGCCTCTGGAGAATGAGAACAATGACAACAAGGCTCAGTATGCATTAGCCTGCTTCAAGGGAGAACAGTTCAGGGTTGGAGACGGCGTCTACCTGCCTCCTGAAGCCTTCAGCTTTAGGTAAGAATGTCATTTGTGTAATTCTTAAAACTCATTAGAAAACAATGTATTTAGTGTCTATTTTGAAGTCAATTTTTGCAGCTAGTTTACTTCTGGTTCTGGGAACTAACTTCTGATGCCTTACAAGCAGATCTGACAGACTGTAAGATCCAACAGCATTTACTTCTTTATAGACCATAAGCTATATACATTTATTCTTTTAGTAACAGGGAACCAGTGCAATGATTGGAGAACATGTATGATAAGATTCATTGTGCAGATTTTACTCGGGCTGCAGTATTCGAATAAGATGTAGTTACCAGATTTGATAACAAGACTATTATTTAACCTACTGAAAATTAAAGGATTTCAGTTTAGTTTATGGAGGTGTTCATCTCTAAATGTGCTTTTTAACACTAGAACCTGTTGTTTTATCATTTTGGTGCATTTACATATTGAATTGACGAGGTCTTAAAACAGTCCTGAGGAACCCCTTGATATTTTATGCTTTATATTGGATTACTAGCGTCCAAATATGGTCAGTCGGCCAAGTGTTCCAGACTGATACCCTAATTATCACCTTTTATCAATTTATTTCTGGTCATCAGTGTGAAACCGGCCAGTCCAGTAAAACGCTCCCACAGGAAGGAGGATGTGGATGAAGATCTGTATCCTGAGTATTACAGGAAATCTTCAGACTACATTAAGGGCTCAAACCTGGATGCTCCAGAGCCTTTCCGTGTTGGCCGCATCAAAGAAATCTTCTGTCATCGCCGCAGCAATGGGAAAGCTGACACAGCGGAAGTCAAACTGAGACTCTATAAGTTCTACAGGTAGATGCATTTTTATTCCTTTCCAAGGTCAATTAGTTTTTGCTTGAAAGAAAGTCAAACATTTACATAATTCTTTGTCAACAACCAGGCCTGAGAACACACACAGAGGTGTCAAAGCCAGTTACCACACAGACATCAATCAGCTCTACTGGAGTGATGAAGAAGTGACGGTCAGCATGTCGGAAGTTCTTGGTCGCTGTCAAGTAGAGTACGCAGAGGACCTGAATGAATCTGTGCAGGATTACTCCAGTGGTGCACCTGACCGCTTTTATTTCCTGGAGGTATAACTTCTCACTTCTGTTTTTCTGCTGTGGTCTCATGTTTACATAATTGAACATCACTTCAGTCTAGAGATGAACCTAGTTCTGTCCTACAGGCGTACAATGCTAAATCAAAGAGCTTTGAAGATCCTCCCAACCACGCACGCTCTTGTGCTCATAAAGGAAAAGGAAAGGGCAAAGGAAAAGGTTTGTTTTCTAAAAAAGACGGCCTACATGCAGAGTTGTATTAATCTAAAACTCATTGCTGACTTATGTTCAACTTCACTTTTATCAGGTAAAGGTAAAGGGAAGGCATCACAAGAGTCCCAGGAGCCTCGCTCGGAGCCCCAGGCACCGAAAGTACAGAAATATCGGACTCTTGATGTGTTTTCTGGGTGTGGCGGACTTTCTGAAGGCTTCCACCAGGCTGGTAAGTTCCTCTTCCGTTTCAGGCACTAGAATGTTATCAAATTGATAACCGTTTTGCTTAGTTTCCACTTACTGCCTTCAGGTATCTCTGAGACGCTCTGGGCTATTGAGATGTGGGAGCCAGCTGCACAGGCGTTCCGCCTTAACAATCCCGGCACCACGGTGTTCACTGAGGACTGTAATGTCCTCCTGAAACTGGTCATGTCTGGAGAGAAGACTAATTCTCTCGGCCAAAAGCTGCCTCAGAAGGGCGATGTGGAAATGCTGTGTGGTGGGCCTCCCTGCCAAGGTTTCAGTGGGATGAACCGCTTCAATTCTCGCACTTATTCCAAATTCAAAAACTCACTCGTGGTTTCATATCTTAGGTGAGTGTCTACAAGACTGGCTGTATATCAGAGCAGGTAATCGGATTTAGTCACTGATTGGTTCGGATCCTTTTCTTTTGCAGTTACTGTGACTATTACCGACCAAAGTTCTTCTTGCTGGAAAATGTGAGGAACTTTGTATCATTCAAAAACTCCATGGTCCTGAAGCTGACTCTGCGCTGTCTGGTGCGGATGGGCTACCAGTGTACGTTTGGAGTCCTGCAGGTGGGAATGACTTATTATCCATTCTATTGATTTTTTTTTATTTTTTTTTTTTGTGTGGGGAAAAAATGTTCTCTAAGGATTTCTGTCCTTTGCTGCTTCTCAGGCCGGTCAGTACGGTGTTGCTCAGACTCGCCGCAGAGCTATCATCCTGGCTGCTGCTCCAGGAGAGAAGCTGCCTCGCTACCCTGAACCCCTGCATGTGTTTGCTCCTAGAGCGTGCTCGCTTACAGTGGCAGTGGATGAGAAAAAATATGTCAGCAATGTGACACGGTAATGGAAACCCCGACCTAAGCAGCACTTATTGTTCTGCAAACTTTACTGAGCCTTTTCTATTTTCCAACAGAGGTAACGGTGGCATCTATAGAACCATCACCGTCAGGGACACCATGTCTGATCTGCCTGAGATTCGTAATGGTGCTTCTGCCTTGGAGATTTCCTACAACGGAGAACCTCAGTCTTGGTTCCAGAGGCAGATCAGAGGCACACAATATCAGCCTATTCTCAGAGACCACATCTGCAAGGTAAGCAATATTAACATTTTTACAAAAATGCATCACTAATTACTAGTATTAATTATTGTTTTTATGACTTTTAATCTCAGGACATGAGTGCATTAGTGGAGGCCAGGATGCGTCACATCCCTCTGGCTCCAGGCTCAGACTGGAGAGATCTGCCCAACATTGAAGTCCGGTTAAAAGATGGCACCATGACGAAGAAACTACGTTACACGCACCATGATAAGAAAAATGGCCGCAGCAGCACCGGTGCTCTCAGAGGCGTCTGCTCCTGCGCTGCAGGTACATGAGGCTCAATTATCGGATCTCTAAAGAAACTAAAATAAAATGGTTAAACTTAGATTCCAAGCTGATGAAATGCTCTTCTTTGTTTTAGGGAAAACCTGTGACTCTGCCGACAGGCAGTTTAACACCCTAATCCCGTGGTGTCTGCCCCACACCGGAAACCGCCATAACCACTGGGCCGGGCTCTATGGCAGATTGGAGTGGGACGGCTTCTTCAGTACAACTGTAACCAACCCTGAACCCATGGGCAAGCAGGTATATCATGCTTCCAGTTTTATGCCTGAATGTTGGGAAAAAGATCAGAAGTTTATTCTATGGCTCATGAAGGCTGTGTTCAAACTATAATCTGAGATTTGGTCGCTCCCGATAAATAAACCTGAAATGTAATTCCTGATGATCTTAATCCATTTGTGCAATCTCAGGGCCGCGTTCTGCACCCAGAGCAGCACAGAGTTGTCAGTGTGAGGGAGTGTGCTCGCTCTCAGGGTTTCCCTGACACCTACCGCTTCTTCGGAAACGTTCTGGACAAACACAGACAGGTAAGAACCAGTTCGAGTTTACCACAAACTGACATGGTTTCACAAACAATCGGTTTAGTTTGTCAAGCTTGTGACATATGAATCGTTTCAGGTTCTTTGTCAGCTTAGTCCTTGTTTTCTTATTACTTTATTTCACCCAGGTTGGAAATGCTGTTCCTCCCCCGCTCTCTAGAGCCATCGGGCTGGAGATCAAGAAATGCGTCTTTGAAAGGATGAAGGAGGAACAAGCTACAGCAGGTACTAGGGAGAATTTCCCTTCTGCTTTTTCCTGTTGATCTCACATTTACCGTTTTAACTTGATTCTTTTTTTTGTTTTTTATTGCAGACATCAAACAAGAAAAAATGGACGTCTCTGATTAATTTCCCCTTGTCCACATTTTAAAGGTTTTAATACCGATGACGGAATACTTAAGTGATTTGACTTTCAGCTGTCACCAAGCGGCCACTATGTTCTATGTAGTAATCATTCCATATTGAGTCTTGTTTTTATTATGCTGTTAATTGTTCAATGTGGAGTAAATTGTATGTAGATTTTATATGTAATATTTCAAATAAAGTTCTTCTGAAATTGTATTTGTGGTTCAATTGACGTGATGGTATTGCAGCTTTGTACTTGAAAATAAGGATTTGTAGATTTAGCTTGACCGAAAATCTGATTAGAGTAGTTTGAAGGTATGCTCGTGTAACCAACTTTTTTTTTTTTTTTTTTTTTACATAGGATTCCTGTTATAGTTTTTGGACCAGTCTTTTAAACAGAAGCTGATTAGTCACTTCATTTGGAAGGGATTAAATTGATCTCAAAGTAAATTTTGGTGTTACTGGATCAGTCCATTTGCTGCACATGTTCAGAAAGGTCCAGACAGCAGCAAACTATTTGAAAACAAACTATGCGAATAGCAGTGTTGCCAACTTAGTGCTTTGGTCGCTATATTTAAGTGACTTTTCAGACCCCTCTAGCACTTATGTCAAAAAGCATCTAGTGACTTTTTTCCTGCTAGAGACTTTGGCAACAAAAGCGGTGAACTCTGCTCTACAGGATATCTGCTTTCCTCCTACACATCCAGCTCAGCAGCCAAAAGAAACTGGCAGGTTGAAACCAGAAATTATTTAATTAAATTTGAATCCTAAACACAAAATAAATTTGGATAACAGCCCAAAGCCCAAAAAGGAGAACTTGAGGTTATGCTAAAATGAAGTTCAGAATTTTTGTCAGGTTTTTCAGCACCAGTAGAAATGAAATGCTTTAGGTTTCTGATAGATGGCCCAAACGAACTTGGACTTCATAAAACTGGACCAATAAGACATGGAACCCCAAATTGGAAATTTCAAACTGGACCTCAAGCAACTTGGATTCTGCCCCTTAAACTCCAGTCTGATTTCAAAATGATTAGATGACTTGAGTCTCAACTTTGGACCACTGAACACCTGCCTAGTTATTTTTACTACCTCAAAGTAAAAGACCTGACATCTTTCAATACAGGAAATGTAACTGCAGCCTATTTTTATAAATAGCTAGTGGCTGCAGGTTGTGACTAAGTCACTTTTCTGCTTGGTAGTGACAATTTTCTAAGATTTTTATATCTGAAGCTTTGAATATTTTAGATATACAATCCAAAGAAAAATCCAAACAACAAAAAGTGACAATTTACTATCTTTATTTAGGTAACAGCCACATTTACAGTGAAAATCTGGCATTTGGAAAGTAGATGAATTCCTCAGTTGTTGGAAGGTCTGAAAAGAAACATTTAAAGTTAACACTAGAAAACCATACTGCTAACATAATATGCAACAATGGTTATCAACTCACTTGGCCCATTCAACATTGAGAATAAGATGATCGTATCCAAAGCCGGACACTCCTGCAATGGCTCTGGCTGCATCCTCCCTGCGGTGGAAACTGATGAAAGCAAATCCCTGCAGCAAAGACGATGCTAGATTAGAAAACTGGAGCTTTCCTTTTCAATGGTTGTCCATCTAATTCTAACAGACACTGCTGAATGGTAATCAGCTCATTTGTGAGGATCTAATAGAGACAGAACATGCAGAAAGTGAGTACCAACCTTGGACTGTCCTGTATTCTTGTCCTTTGCCAGGTAAATCCTTGAGATGGAGCCAAATGGTCTGAAAAGCTCCTGCAAGTCGGTCTCACGGGTGTCCTCAGACAGGTTGGTCACACGGATTGTAGCGTTGTCATCAGCTGGAAGGAGAAGTCATTTAGTGTTTGATCAAAGCTGTAGCAACTGACACACTTTAACTTCTTCTCACCTCTGCGGTTCGGCTGCATAGACTCCCCTCTTCGGGTACCTCCATCCCTCAGGCTTGGGGGAACATATTTGCCAGTCTTGCTTTGTGCAGGCTGCACAGGTTCTGGTTCAGCTAATTAAAAAATATATAAATATTTTGACAACACAACTCAAATAGCAAAAAAAAAAAAAAGAACACTGCACAAAGACCATAAGATTATAAATTTAAAAAAAGCAAACAACTGGTACCAGAACCAGGAGCCTTGTCCTTGTCTGCAGTGGAAAGGCCAAGCTGCTCAGCCAGTTCCTTTTGCATAGGGCCCAGGGTGTCCTTGTACGGACAGCGGGTCGTCCAGTGGTCGCCTTTACAAATACGACACGACACAATCTTCTGGTTTTTAAGTTTGTTCATTGGGTCTTCTTCCTGGTCTTGGGCATTCAAGTCCTGCAAAAAGGAATAGCATCTCAGGCAAAAGGTACACAACTCTGAGACCACTGATTCTGCACTACATAGCAATTCTTTCTCTTACTCCTTTGCTAAGCAATACTGCAGAGAAAGTTTCTAGACTGATTTTCAAATTGAAAGGAAAGCAACTGGAAACTTTAAACTAACTCACTATAGTGTTCAGAAGAGGATGGAGGCAAAAACTGAATTTCTGAGAAATTATTGGCTTCATTAATCAAACTTTAACTTTACTATCACTGGGTTTTCATGTGCAAGAATCTGAAAACTTGGCAAGAATTAAAATAAATGCAACAGATTCTCACATCTTTGCTGGAGATAAATGTCATGAAGACATCGTCGCTGACTGTAGTGGTAGCAACATTGGGACCCGGTGGATCACGCTCAGAGTTTCCAAATTTCTTCCAGTTCTGCAAAATATTTCATCACAGGAAAAGTTCACAACACCAAAATCATTGGGTAGTTAAATGCCCCTCACACCTCAGGTGATGTATACAGACCTTTCTTCTTGCAACAGCTTTGGATGCCTTCCTTGTCTCGATTTTAAAGGTCCGCACAATCTAGACAAAAATCATTTAACAGATTAAGAGCATTGCATTGGTTCTCAACAACATGATGACCTGGTAGCATCGGTTAAAAGAAATCAACTTATATCAAAGCGCCTGGGATATAAAAACCAACAGATGCTTTGAAATATATTGCAGAAAAATAAACCTAGAAAAGTGTTCTGTTTAATCATCAAATTAATCACCTTGTATTTTTTCCCATCATCTTCATCTATTTTATATTCGGTGACAGTTTTTATGTTTCCTTTGATGGTTTCCTTCGGAGATGGTAGTGTGTCTAGTAAAACAGGGGGAAATGAACATGACACATAAGCATATAGAAAACAATATGATCATTAGTTATCAGTTAAAATTTGTGATAAAACTGCTCAAGTTTCCCATCTGTTGTTACATTTCCTATTCTTTTATCCCGGACCCAACCTAAAACAATCCAAAAATATTGTAAAAGTCATCTTACTTCATTAACGTGTTTGTAATTAATGTTTAAAGTCTTGTAGAAACAGCTTTCTGCATTTTTTAAGTGCTAGAAAACGCTTCCTCCATCACCAGGGCCGCTTTCTTATCGCCAAGTAAAAGAAACTAAACACCCCTTTAAACTACTCACTAAAATTCAATAACAAATACAATTGTAAAGCTATGTATCCAGAACAGTCGGAATGTTAATTTCAGTAACCGACTGTCAAAAAAACAAACAAAAAAAAAAAACACGTGGAAATGTAAGCCGACTAGCCGGGCCTTAATATCGGAGCTATGCTAACGCTAGCCTTCTAGGCTAAAAAAAAAAATCCTCCCAACCGTCTCCTTCTTCTTCGACCTGATCGGCCCAGCTGGGCTTTGAGCTGGAAGAAAGAAAGGAAATTCGGGGTTATATTCCTAATAAAACCGTAAACACAGATAGGAAAAGTGTAAAATTCTGAATGAAACTTACTCGTCGTAATCAATCGACGGCATCCTCTCCGTTAGCTTAGCTTCAAGAGGATCACCGCGAAGCAGCAGAACTCACTTCCGTTATTTACACTTCAAAATAAAAGCATGAAGTGACCCAACTTTTTCATTGTTTTTTTTACATAGTTTTGTCACAATAAAAGCGGACACAATAACACTAGCATGACGGTGGATTAAGGATTTTGGTTTCGTTTGACGCTCTAGGTCCCTGCTCTAGGTTTTTTCAAGATCCGTCTGACAGAAAAAGTAAGTTTATCAGAGGGGCGATGAAGGGGAATTTTTTTTTTTCATGGGGGACCCACAAAAAAAAAAGAGACATTCCAGAAAATAAGGGCTAAAATCATTTTGTGTATTAAGAGAAGCAAAAAGCCAAGGTTGCAAATACCCAATCTAACAGATTAAAACTATGATCTTATCTTGATGCACCTTGAAGCTGGCTGTAAATGCATCTAAAAAAGTAAATAAATAAAATTATTCCATTTCCCCTCATTTGAACAGGCAAACAAAAAATGAGGGCCAAGGGAAATAATATTTTTGCTCTTAAAACAAAACAATCGATTTAAATATTAATATTAAAATATTAATTCGATTTAGGGGCCAGCACTAGTCTGACAGGGGCACTGGCCCCTGTTGGCCCTTGCTTTGAACTGCCCGTTGTGAATAATCTTTAATAACATGTTTGAAAAAACAGAACGAATACAGATATTGAAACCCAGACCTCGTGGTTGCATTCTGCGGCAGGGTATTAAGAGAACAGTGCAGAAATCTGGCTTTCAAGGTAAGGGCTGAAAGAGACCAGAAATGAATGCATAATTAAGTGTTTCAGGGCATCAGATCAGGATGCTTCGTTTGGAGGGTTTCCAGGCCCATCACATTGAGTAGGACCCAGATCCAGATTTAGCTGGAGGAACTGTCCCTTTTGGCATAAATAGATGCTGAGGAGGTGCAGGGGAAGTCTGGTTTCTCTTCTTGTTCTCTGTCTGTCACCTTATCTAATCTAACAATAAACAAGAGACTGCATGAATATTATTGAGATTCTTTAGAGAATTTAGTGAAATGTTTTTCTTGAAATGTTCTATATTTTGTTTAGGTTGAAAATGAGGGGTTTCTTTCTTTTAATCTACTTAATTTTGCAAAAAACACATTGTAATTAAGTGTTTGTTGTTGTTTTTTTAAAAATTTGATTCTGTAGGGAGGGTAGCCATTTTCTTTTAATAAATGAAATCACCCTAAAACTTCCTTTTGCATTTAGTTTTGTTATGTCTGATACAAAGGTTTTGATGCTCAGAAACATTCCAGTTCAACCAAACAGCAAAAAACAAACAAACAAAAAAAAAACTTTTTCTTAACATCATATAAATTAGATGGGATGGTAATAACAGAATGCAACACTTTTTTTTAATTTTATTAGGAAAATTATAAGATTATCTGTTTTTACAAACATGATTGGTCAAGAAGTACAAAACTGTGTCATGTAGAAGTTCTGCAAAGATCCTTCTAGCAAAGCTATGTTCAGTCTAAAACAAGGATGTGCTTCATGCAAGAGCAACCAAGCGACACCTCTACTTCCTCATCCAGCTCTGTTGTCTTCTAAGCTCTGTCCACAGCATACCAGTCTAATACTGTCAAACAAAGCCATGTAGAGGATGGGATGGATACACATGTTCAACGTTGCCAGACCTTTGGATACTTGGTACATGTTGTAGACCCAACAAAGTGTGTGTTGGGGATATATCCTTAAATACAGATGATAGACTTGGTAGACACGATAGGGCACAAAGGAAACAGCATAGAGGACAATTACTGATAAGACTAACAAGGCAACTTTACGCTTTTCAAGCGTTGTTATGTTGGCATTTTTCCACACAACCCGAGTCACTACACAGTAAGAAGTAAAAGTTACTATGAAAGGAACAAGACAGCCAAACACAGCAAGGAATACTTTGTAAATAAAGTCAGACTTGGGGTCAGACGTTTGGTGACAGAAGGCCACACATAAAGTATTGTTATTGTAACTGTGTTTACAAAGAGATGCAAATTTCAGCATAGGGGAGGAGATGACTCCTACAATGATCCATATGATCACACTAATGGCTTTAACATGGGATGGTTCCAGGTAGGAGCGAGTGAAGAAGGGCCATGCGATAGCCACACAGCGGTTCACACTTATGGCCATGATGAAGAAGATGCTCACATATAAGTTGCAGGTGAAAAGAAACCTCTCCATTTTACACACAGCCTCGCCAAAAATCCAGTGTTTCCCCAGGGCATAGTAGACGATCAGCAGAGGCAGAGTGAGGATGTACAGCAGGTCACTGATGGCCAGGTTGCAGGAGAGGACGACACCCGAGTGCCAGTCGCGCCTTTCTCTGACAAACAGCAGACACAAGGCAAACAGATTTCCTGCAAAGGCCACAACAAACTCGACCCCATACATGGTAGGCAGCAGGCTAATCTGAAACTTCTCACAGTCAGAGAAGTTGACCGACATCCTGCTTTCAGCTCAACACAACCCTTTAATAAAAAAAAAAAAAAAAACAGGAGTTAAAAAAAGTCCCTACCGATGTTCTTTGCTATAGCCTAGAAGCAATAAAATAAGCTGCAGCTTACCCAGATGCAGACATGCAAATATGCCAGAGTAAAGCTTTGATTTACTAATTCGTTGATGAGAAGGTTGAGGGTAGAAGTCGCTCCTTAGTCGTCCAATGCTGATCTGAGTGACAGAACAGCAGAGTCATTTCCTTGTGCCCCTGCTTGTGTTGTTAGAAATGCAGAAGGAAAACTGCAGTGACGACACCAGAAGCATCAATCTGAAAATATTGCTATAAAAAAAAAAACTCTGTTTGAAATAGAACTAGAGGCACAATAGATGAAAAGTACTTATTTATGACAATTCTAGCAGCAACCAGGGCTATAACCAGAGGAGACTGTAATGTTCAGTTTAGGCCCAAATTTGGCCAAATGGTTGCATCCATCAAAGGAAAAGTTATGGAACAAACTGCCAGCTCATGTTAGGGGCTATGCAACCTACAAAAGTTTTAAAATCTTATTGAAACATTGGTTGAAAAATAACCAGACCCAAATTCACAGGTGAATTGATCTGTTTCCTTGGGGTCGTTAACCTAATTTTATTGTGATTTCATATTATTGGCATCTTATCTGTTTGTGTTCACTCTGCTGTCTCCCATAGTGTCATGTTTAACGTTCACTGTTCTTACCTGCCTTAGGAAATCGGATGCAAATGACCTGTTAAAGCATATTTATATTGATGCTTTAAGCTGATATGTTAATAAATGTGCATTTCCTAATTCAAATAATTAAAATTAGTTTAAAAATGCACACTCTAAAAACCTTTTGTACCTATACAGGTTTGTCTTTGCTTTGTTGTGACTTCTGGTGAAGAAATAACAGTATTTCCGAATAACCTTGTCCTGACTGACCAGTTTTTAAATGACATCTGACAGAGCATCCCACCCATGAGAAGCAAATTCAAAACAAATTTCAGGGAAATCTCTTCAGTTTTTTTCAATATTCCTGACTTTTAGAAAAATATCTGAAGGTAGAAAAGAATCAAAAGATTGTGTGTGAGCAAGCCAAAGGCAAACTTCTATCGTAGGATAGAAAATACGTTTTTCTATTCGAAGATGAGAAAATGATCACAGGTGGGAATAAATTGGTCACATAAAAAATAAAGACAGAATGACACTCACCATCTTCTTTTAAGACCAACTTTAAAGCTTTAATTTTTAGTAAAGCTTACAATAACTTGGACTATCCTGATCCTGAGCTAGTTTTGCCATTAGGCCGTTGGAGGACATAATCACCATCCACCCTGCTTCTCAATTTCCAATTATTTGCAGTTTTTACCTTTTTTCTATTTATAGAAGCCCCATCTGATATTTTATTCAGACACCTTCCAGAGTGGGCACCAGCTGAGCTACTGCTGCCAAAAACCTCATGATCTCCATTTACCACCCTTTTTAAAAAGACCTTTTGCAAACCATCACCTACCATTAACCATGTCTCTTCACTAGGTAAATTGTAACTCAATAAAATTCAATTCCAAACTATTTATAGCTTAACTAATTTATAGTTTTGTAGCAAAACATTTTAACGTATTCATGAACTTCAATAAGTGGAAAGAAATGACAGAACACAAGAATATTAGAGTGTCATATTTACAAAAAAAAAAGTTTATTTAAGAACTGAGGATAACACAAATGATACAAAATAACTTTTCCAAACAATCATTGTTTTGAAATTGTTCCAACAACATCCACTCAAATTGAGTGCTTAAATGTTGAAGCAGTCAGAGCAAAGATTTGCTGCCCCCTGCTGCCTCTATAAGGTACTGCAACCAAAGTTCAACGTTTCCCTTTAGTCCGTTTGAAACCTTGTTTTTCACCTGCGCCCTTCTTATTCTTGAAGCCAGGTTTGCTTTTGTGACCCTTTGAAGAAAAATGCTTGTCCTTGTTTTTCTTTCCATCAAAGTTTTTCCTTCCAAATTTGTTTTCTCTCTCTCCAGATTTCTTGGAACCAAATGCTTTCCCCGGAGGCCATTTTTTCTTACCGAATGCTTTCTCTCCATCTTTAGACTTTTTCCAAGCTTTTCCTTTTCCCTGTAGAGCGGTTCCTGCTTTGTCTCTCTGCTGTCCTACTGCTTTTTTTCTTTTTGGTGATTTAGAATCTGGATCTCTGGAGGTTTTACCAGCAGACAGTTTTCTCTTCCTGGGACGTTCCTGAGATTTGTCAGAGCGTCTCCTCTTCTTAGCACCAGGGAACATATCTGGGAAAAAGAATTATTCATTTTTGAAAAGATTTTAAAGAAATAGTGTAACCAAGGGTCCAAAGCAGGTAAATTTTAGTATTTACCCTCATCTGGCTCCTCCCCCACAGCCTGTCTGTAGTACTCCACATCATCATCAGATTCAACAGCAGCAGCCTGATCTCCTTGCATCCCTGGATCCTCCACTTCACTGTCCTCCTCAGCTTCAGCTTGTTTTTTCTTGATGCCTTCTAGACTCTTTTTCCTTGAAAGTAACACAATTTTTTTATAGACAAACATTTATAAAAATAAAAGAAATCTGCCTGATACGTTTAGGTCTAAATTACTTGTTCTCTTCTCGTTTCTCTTTCTTCTTGGCCACATTCTCTTCCTGTGTTTTCCTTCGGTTCTCCTTTTCCTTCATCTTGGCCTCCTTTCTCTTCAGGATTTCCTGAATCTCTTCCTCTGTCTTAGATACTGCAAGGAGAAAAAGACCAAAAAAACAAATTAAGAAACAGTTTGTGCCTCATGAGCATAAAATCTAAACAATGCTCAGGATGAATCAGTAAGCGTTTACTTTTAGGAGAGAAATCATAGGAATCATATTGTTATTTTCATCAAGTTCATCCAAACAGCTCAAACAGAAAGAATTTAGGAAACAGATGGACTAACTCATGGAGTGGTAGATGATGTTCCCGTCACCCATCCCTTCCTGGATCTTTACCAGCTGCAGAGTCATTCGAGGGCCGATCTATGGAGAGCAAAGTGGAACAGGTTGAGCTGATATCCAAACGTCAATCGGGTGTTTCAGATATAGAAGTTTTTGACTCACTTCTGTCAAACGGACAGCGCTCTGCTGGGATGGCATGTTGCCTCTTCCAGCATACATCTGTGGCAGTTCAGTTATATTGTGTTCACCGTCCTGCTCTGCTTCGCTTTCAGACAAGTTCGCTCCCCTAAAGAGTTGTTAGAGAAAACATAGCCTTCCATCTGATTTCCATCTCTAAAACATAACAGTGGTTCACGTTCTTTTTAATCGCTGCAAACATAGATCCTTACTTCACCAGCAGCTCGGCAATATCCTCGAACTTGCTCATATTGGGGAACTTCTCCTGCATCAGCTTCTTTACTCCTCGGCTCATCCCCACAGGGACGACTTTCAGGCTGCTGCAGATTGGGAATAAAAATATTTGACCTCAATTAATGAGAGAAAACAAAAAAAGTAACAGACATTCTATAAAGGCCCATCAGTGCGTTTACTTTGGACATAAATCATGAATGAGTCAAGTCGTGTTTGGTCATCATCTGAGCCCATCATTTAGAAGACCTGTTTATTTTATCACAATACTTACTAGTGTCGAAACTGAATTTCCTGAGTCTCTGGGTCAAAACTAAACAGCACACACCTCTTGATACTGTTGAGATTTACCTAAAAAAATAAAAAAATGTCATTAGGCCAAAGCTTAAACTACTTTTTATGAGATTAAAAAGGTCTACTTCATGAATGAATCAGAAAGCGTTTACTTTTGAAAATTCTTCACATTTAATCAGAAGACTATACTTTCATCATATCATAACATTTACAAATTAGGATTCTTACAAAAGGGCTTGTTTTCTCACCTTTTGGACATTTATTGAGGGAAACATATTCTGGAACATGGTGGCCATGAGCTTCACATGCATGCCATCCACTCCAAAGTTACTGAGGATGAGAAGTGGATGATGGGTGAACTGCTGCTCATGCATCCTGTGCTTCTTCAAAGACGAAACCACATCTTTTATAAGGGAATACTGTGGATGAAACATGAAATAGAAAAGTCCTTATAAAAATGGATTAAATAAAGAAAGATAATAAAGGTTGCATGACTTGGCTGCTAGGGTTCATCAGTGCGTTTACTTTGAAAACATCACTTAACAATCAAGTTTTTTATGCATCATCACATGAACCTGACATATTAACTAGCAAATTATGAAGTGTACCTTTACAACTTTAAAATAAAGCATGGGGCCTTTAGGAAGACGAGCCAGTCTCTAAGGAGGAGAAAAAAAAAGAAGAAGCTGAATGGATAACAGAGCATCTTACATAAGAAAAAGTAAAACCAGATATGCCTTTAATCTCACCATGTTGATGCTGTCGCTGGTTTTGCCAAAGATAATGAAGTGGGTCACTCCCAGAGGCCCCGCTATGGACACAAAATCCTTCAGGAGATTCTTTTTCCGTACCTGGTTTTAAAAGGCAAAGGCATGAGAGGGAAACTATATTTTATAAATTGTGCAAATTTGTTAAAGTAAGCGATGCTAACATCTGGGGGAAGCTGTATTTAGAGAGGCGACCTCCAAGACAGAGTCCTTTGGAAAAAAATAAATAAAAATAGAGAAAGACATGCATATTTTATAAAACTATTGTTAAATTATCCCAGCAGATATTTTTTATATCCAGGAGTCACCATCAAAAATAAAACCACCATCATGTCACTGTAGATCATTTAAAATCAACGGAAACATTTTAATCATAGGTTATACCTGTAGAGGGTTTAGTCATATATTGATTTAATTGGAACTATAGTGTCTTTTAAGAGATATTTTTAAGGAACTGACATGTCTTTCTGAAAGGATTCATCCCAATTAACCCAGATCCTCTTGTGTTTAGCTATTGAAAAATAATTACACATAGGCATTTCTGAGGGTTGAAGATAAATTAAGGTCGAAGCATTAATTCATCGATGAATTAAGTGACTCCAGAACATGGCATTTGCTAGAGGACATCAAACTTATAGCTTTAATAAATCAAAAGGAAATATCCTTTTGTTTCACCTAGTCCAAATTCTAGGGGGAAAAACTCACATAAAGCAACTTTATCTAGCCTATTAGAAACTACTCGCATGATTATTTTTGTAAATAATCATGAATTGTCCTAGAATAAAATGTGATTCAAATTGTAAACCTGAAAAGTAATATAGGTCCTTTGTTTTAACAGGTCTTAGGGGGTTATCACTGCAATTTTTCTCAATGTTTCAAACTCCTGTTAAACTTAAGGTTATTTTACTTATATTGTGATTAAACTGCACAGCTTAAAAGTCTTAAATGTCCAGATATGACTTCCAAAACATGACTTGTGACTTTTTCAGAGTGAAAAGATGCATTTTTGTTATTACTGTGTAATAAAGGAATCAGAAAATTTCGTACTTTTAATCATCTGAACATGTGGCCCTGTTTTCAGAGGGATTCATACCTTCAGAGACTCGGCGGTGTACGGCTGCATGACTTTCCTCATGTCCTGGACGAGCTGACCCACGTTTTTCCCAATTTGACCCCGATGGAACACAAAGGAGTGGGGGACAGTTCTGTAGGCATCCTCCGCCACATGGACAGCTTGGGCTCGGGCCTTCTTCTGGTTTTTGGTCTAACAATTGTGGAAACATCAGGCACAGGAAGCAATAACATAGATAAATATCAACGCTGGAAAAAAACCCTAAGCGTAACACAACCCTAAACCGTATAACAACGTCCAGACCGGGCTCACAACAACGCTTTTCCAGAAATGTTTAATTATGTAAATAACGCATATCATATTCGTAAACGAATCCTACAATTTCCTCCTTGATAACTACCGTCTATATCAGTGCTTATAAAACATTAGCTAATATGCTAGGCCAGGCACGTACCTTCGATTTCCCCATGCTTGATTTAGAAGTCTGTAGGTTTATTTAACAAAAACAAAACCTCTTTAAATGCTGCTAAAGTATATTTAAGTAAACCATGCTTCAAGTGCCTCAGTAAAATGTCTCAAAGCATTAAAGTAGAAACCCTCTGCTACGAAGGATCTCCTCTATCCACATGGTTTCTCGGCGTGTTACACCCTAATATGTCCGTGTTCCTCACTAGAAGGTAGGAACTTTTTCTTCCTCTTCGTCGATTTATTGGGGGTTTGCAACAAACATTTGGTAGCATTACTGCCACTTACTGGTATTGAGTGTGGTTCGTGATGGACTAATTTCTAATAAAAATAAAATAAAATAAAAACTATATACTTATACATAAGTTTTTTATTCTACCCGTCTACATCATACACACATTCACCCTCTCTATAATAAAATTCTATGAAATAATTTAGTTTTCTTTAAAATCTATTGATTAATCTTTTCCTTAATACATTTAAACTCTCTCCCCATATATCATCTCTCGCTTTCATATTTAGTATAACATGTTCTATTGTTTCATATTTTCCACAGTAATCACATTTGCCAGTAGTACGCTTTTGAATTTTGAAAAGTGTATAATTAAGTCCTGTATGCCCAAATCTTAACCTTGTCATCACTCTCTCCTCCTATTTCTCTTCCATTTCTTCTTTTTCCTACTATCTTCTGAATTTTATAAAGCCATCTTCCTTCATCCCACCTTTCTCTCTTTTTTTTTTTTTTTTTTTTTTTTTTTGCCATTTTCCCATCAATTTTCTTTAATAATACTCTTTCCCTCCGATTTACTTGTTTTAAAAGGTAGGAACAAGTCTGGCTGGTTCCTAGATATTGCGGTTGGTAGGTTATACTTTTGACCACAAGAGGTCAGTAGATAGGCACGCAACGAAAGATAATATCATTATGTTGGTGGGCAGAAGACAGGAACACATGATACAGCTTAGGCAATTCATTCATTCATTTGTTTAGATCCAAATAATGGTTATTAAGTTTTAAGAAAAAAAACCCCACAAATAAGTACATATTGTAACCGAATAAATAAAAATGTGTAATAATGCATCTTAATTTAGTTTTTAATCAGTTTTATTTGCCAGGTATGTGTACACATAAGAGGATTTTTGACTCTAAATTGTACAACGCTCATGATGATGAGCACATACGGTATACAAATACTATAAACAAAATGGGAAGATCCAAATTGTAGAGCAGTGGTGCGGTGAGCAAAGTTCAAAGGTTGCAAAGGTAAACAACACAGTACTGAATAATAAGTGGTTATTAGTAAGCAGGTGCTGGAGAGAAGTGAGTTACTGGGTTATTGTTCAACAGTTTTTCCTGACCCTGTTCATTAGAGTGATGGCTTGTGGAATAAAAACTCCTGAATCTTCTAGTTTAGGCGTGGTCTGTCCTAAGAGAGGGGACAGTTGGATAAGAGCACAATATAAATTAAAAAGAATAGAAAGTATAGGAGCAAAAAAAAAATATATATATATTTTTTTTGCTTTATAAATTGGTGGACAAAATATTGTTTCACTTTTTCTTTCTTTTTCTTTGTCTCTTTCTCTTTCCGTCTAAAACACAGATACACACAAGCAAAACTATTTTTTGGCGATATCCTTGCTGAAATTGTCATTGAAACCTAGTTTCCACTTCATGGTTAAATGGAGTAAACGCATGAGAGATCTTTGTCTGCTTCGAAAGGTTTTTGTCTCATCTGCAGCAATAATAGTGGCATTACAAACTATAAACCTATTAACTGGTTAACCATCTACTTTTAAGCATTACTTACAACAAATCCAATGCAAAAACTGAAATCTGAACAATGGCAATTTCACCATAGCACATTTGTTGAGATTGTGAGTCCATGACAGACAGGATCACAGACTGATGGCAGAGGGAGGAGACATCCAAACTCCTGAGTCTACAGCCCACTCAGTAAAGGGAGGCCACAGTTGGATAGTTTGTGATTAGCTACCCTCTTTCCTTAAGAGATCCCGACACAAGAAACCAGCAGATCATGAGCAAACGCAGCTTCTGACAAAGTTGACTGCTGTTCTGACCCAAACCTTTTTGCTTTCTGATTAGATTTGCAGGCATCACAGGTTTTCACTCATTTATAGCTTCTGCCATTTTTTTTTAATGCCATTTTGATTTTGCATGATCAGTCTCTGAAACCTTCTGCTTCTCAACACAAAGGACGTATGTAAACCTCTTTGATCTGCCACGGTAAGTTATTAAAAATTACCACTTTTATACAAACCTTGCATTTATTGTACTTAAAATTAAGGTAAAATTGAGTGAAGTAGTAATAACAGTTGTCTCGTTAGGAAAAAAAAAAGATATGTCTGGTGACCGCACTGATTGTCAGCATATAAACAAACTGAATTAAATGAAGCTGCATATTTAATTGACTTTTATTTTATAGTGAAATGTGTGCATAAGATCATGGCGTTGCTGAGTAGATTGATGGGTGTTGGTTCTGGCTGGTCTGTGTTGACTGATTAACTTTTTCTATTGATGGGTCAAGTTTTAGAGGAAATCAAGATAGTTACACTCAAGATTATTACAATCAAGATATTTGAATTGAGAAAGCTTCCTGGAGAGGTAGTGAAACGTCTTCAAATCTTGGAAACCAAGTCCAGTGGATTTTTTTTTTTTTACTTTTATGGAATGACTATGACCTGGATGACTCAGAATCTTCATCCGCATGATTACACTCACAGCGCACAATGGGGAGACTCTGTTATGAGACATAACATGTATAGATATGTTACATTAATATGTGATAGTTTGAACTTTATTTTGCAGTTTATCTGAGTGGCTGATGTTAAACGAAGCCAACATTAAAGTAAAACTATTCCCTACCAAAAGAACAAATAAAAAAACAACCAAAACATTGTGGGACAACACAGAAAAAAGAAATGTATTTTCACACAGGATGAAGAATAAAAATCTTCATCCATTTTTAAGAATCAATTTTCCAAGTAAAAAAGAAATACATTTCTGGATTGCCTGTAATATATATGATTTTAGTAATATAATAATATAACATAGTTTGGATTCCCTAAAACAATTCAGAGCAGAACACCCCAACTTAAGTTACTTTAAAAGTCCCATTGTATTGAAGGGGGAACTCACATCTAATTGTACAAGTTACATTTAACACTATCTAAATATTCCCCAAAACACTACAACCATCTACATTAAAGATCTTAAATATAACATTTTTATTTTTTTAATATTTTTTGCTAGGATGATTTTCCTGAAACACTCGACTGATTAATGGATAAGACACTGGAAACAGCTCTGACCCTTTTCTTCATCCTTTGTGTTCCTACTCAAAAAGTTGGAGGGCAAATGTTGGGAACCAATGGAGAGTACAAACAATCACCACGTTCCTCAGATCTGAAAGCAGGCCGTTGCTCCTACACCTTTATTGTCCCACAGCAAAAAATTTCAGGAGCTCTGTGTTTGAACACACACTCCCCAATGCTCAACAAATCAGAGGTTGCAGCTCTGCAGTTGGGGTTTAAACAGCAGCAGGAACAGCTGGAGAAGCTGCAGAAACAACTGGAGGATGAAGGGTCTCTTGCCACAGAGGTAAGAGCCCTACGCAAAGAAAGCAACAGCATGAATTCTCGTATTGCCCAACTTTATAACCAGCTGCTGCGTGAAGTCATCCAAAAAAAGGAGCAGGCTGTGGAGCACCAAAGGTTGGAGAGCCTCCTCCTCAATGCTACAACACAGGTAAGCATGGATTCCCCCATATCACAGCTTCTCACGATTGGGTGAGATATGGATCTTGGCTTATGTTTTCTCTTTTTGGTGGGGGAACTACAGGCTTTGCAGGTTTCCAGTAGTTACAGGGAACTGGAGAAGAAATATGGAGCCCTCACCTCCACGATAAGTTCCCAGAACCAATTCATAGCCAAACTTGAAAAGCAGTGCCAGTGTAGGCATTCCAGCCAGACCTTTCAAGTAGGAAGCATGCAGATCTTTTTATTTATTCATTTTTAGATTTGATACTGATGCTAATTGTGGCCTGCAAATTAGCCTGTGTTGTTTTATGTTGCTCTGAACAGACAATGACGGAACCCCCCAAAAGCAGTGATACTGAGCACCATAACCACAGCATTGAAGCAAGCATAATGACAAATGATGTTCAGAGGGACCAGAGTGCTCCTTTACATCAGCTTCAAGTGAAAACAGTCGTCGATCATTCCCTTCCTACCTCTACAATCAGCCCCCCTACTGAATTGCCTTTTGTTGGCTTCCCTGTAACAAAATCTCCAGGTATCCAAAACACATTTCAGAGCATTTGATAAGACTCCAAACTTTGTCTATAGATGAGTCTTGCTTGTGTCAGACATATTTATTGTGTCTGATAAGCAGCAGAAGCTGGTGGTGTCACTGACCTGCTGATAGAGGTTTTATCTTCTTGGGAAAACCTAAACAATGTCAAACACAGCCAGCGTCTCTCAGAGCATCGCCTCTATAATGATCAGGCGCTCACTTTTTATTAACACACCAGCAAAGACGTATGCGGTTAATAAAGAGGAAGAAATAGGCAGCTTTCTGAAAAAAGTGACCATGTGATGCAAGAGCGTTAGTTACATCCAGCTTATGTAAAAGTGCTTGTCATGGCAGCTCATCTATATTCATTATTGTGGGAGATGCTTCTTAGTCTGTACATTCTGGCCATGCAGATTCCTATGTTGACCTTATCCAATTCTTCATGTCCAAAGAGATAAATAGAAGCTAATCTTTCAGACGCCAAACATGTACTCTAGTTCACTCTAAAGAAACCAGCACAGATTGTTTATAGTATGTGCAAGAGCTGCATGGCAGGCATAAATAAAATCCACACCTACCTGCAACTAAACTTTCATCATCAGTTTTTAAATAATCAAAATTCATGGATATTAAATAGCATAGCTATCTGAATAAAAGAGAGGTTTTTTGTACAAATAAAAATGTAAAGGTAAGATTATTCTTTGTTACTGTTCATGTATGAGATATATCACAAAGCTTAAAAAGAAAATCTGTGTTTTTGTTGTCACATAAAATCCCAACATCATAAATACATGTACAAGAAGCAGAAATACACATATAGCATACGATGTTGGTTGCCTATTTTCATCTCCTCCAGGGCCATGGAGAGACTGCCAGCATGTTCTAGATTCAGGCGAGACCAGCAGTGGGATCTACCTGCTTCGTCTTCAGAGCGCCAACCTACTCTTGCAGGCCTGGTGTGAGCAGAGTCAGGCTCAGGGTGGCTGGACCGTCATCCAGAGGAGACAGGATGGGTCCGTCAACTTCTTCAGGACATGGGAGCAGTACAAGGTGATTTCAAGCAACTTTTAAGTCAGGAAAGGCTGAGAAATACTGGAATTTAGAAAGAAAAGAAAAAATGTGCTAAGTAAAAGTCAGTGATTGCAGTTTTGAGTTATAATAGATATTTGGATATATACAAAAAGTTAATCATTCAGAAATTGCTAAAGCTGCTATTTTTGCATTGTTGCAGCAAGGATTTGGAAACCTAAATGGAGAGTACTGGCTTGGTCTAGAACACCTCTACTGGTTGGCGCAGCAGGCCAAGTACAAACTCAGGGTTGTCCTTGAAGACTGGCAGGGCCGGCAGGTGTTTGCTGAATATGACAGCTTCCACCTGGAGCCAGAGAACGACTGGTACCGCCTGCGCTTGGGACGGTACCATGGAAACGCAGGAGACTCTCTCTCATGGCACAACAACAAGGCCTTCACTACTCTGGATCGAGACAAGGACAGCTACGCAGGTCTGCTTCCGTCATACCTCTGCTCAGCAGTTCTCTGACATGACTTGACTCTATGTGTCAATAATTGCTTAATTCCTTCACTTGTGTCATTAGGTAACTGTGCTCATTATCAGAAAGGAGGCTGGTGGTATCACACTTGCGCACACTCCAATCTGAACGGTGTGTGGTATCGGGGTGGACACTATCGAAGCCGCTTCCAAGATGGGGTCTACTGGGCTGAGTTCCATGGAGGATCCTACAGTCTGAAAAGGGTTTCCATGATGATCAAACCCACTTAACTGCATTGCTGCAGATAACACAGGATTTCATTACAAGGAAACAGAACACAATAAAAAAGAAATTTAGAGGTTTGAAACAAAATACATTATTCTAAAAAAAATTTAATGGACATATTATTATTTACATAAACCCTTAAGGACGATGTTTCCTCTAACTCTGTTCAAATCTTCAAATTCCAAAAAGGGAAAGTGGTTGTTTGTGAGACTGGGCGTTTCTTTCTCATGCTCAGATTACGCTGCAGTTTCCTGAGTTTTACACTGTTGGTCATTATCTCTCAGTGATGTGAATCTGCTTACAATATTTCCATGTCAGGAGAATCTTTCTCACGTCTTTGATGGAAACCAATGATCCACACCTGTTTGTGTTTTCAGAGGATTTTACACACTGTTTTTTGTTTAGTTTCCACCTGTGTTATTAAGCCCCTGCCTTTCATTTCCCATTGCCCACTCCTATCTTGTCATCCCAATACCACCTGGTTCCTGGTTCCTTGTGTTTTTTGTTGTACCATGTTTGTTATTTTTATCATTAAATACTCCTTAACCATCATTCACCTACTGAAGTCTCTTTTACATTTCAATCCTTCTCCTCGAAAAATCACGACAAGAAATACTTCAGTGTTAAAGCAAAAAATGTAAAAAAAAAACCTTAACAATTAAATTTTTCTTTTGAAGAAAGCCACAAACCTTTGACATGTTTGCTTGTTTAACTTTTTTCCTACGAAGGAAACGCTGAACAATAGCTGCTCTGTACTTGTTTCAATTAATCTAATAACAATAGACCAAAGGTTTAAACTTGGCCAACTTATTCATCAAATGTGTTTTTGTCCTACTCTTAGGAGAATTCTTATTGCACATTACCTCATTTATCACACATTTATTGAAAATACCCAACACAGTAGCTTCTCGATTGGGTGGAGGGAATTGACAACGGTTTCACCACTGTTTCCTGTTTCCTGTGCAATAGGGCGTTTGATTCACATTGCAGCTATAGTTTCATTTTTCTCCCAGTACTTGTTTAACTGCCAACCTTGAATCACCTCTACAGGCCAGCTGTTAATCAAAATTATTAAATGCAGGTAGATAGCCCATCATCATTTGGATATTTCTGAAAAACGTATTACCTCCCTCGACAGCCTTCCTTTATCAACGTGCCTGTTTGGCACGTGTTCTCTCAGGATGTTGGCACTTCTCCTCTTCTGTCTGGTACCCTGCGGTGAGTGGAAACTATGCAGTGATGCTATAGTATTGCTTTGTAATATTTATTTTTGTTTATTATCGTTTTTAGAGATGTAAATAAAATATCAGTGAGGTAGATTATTCCTGTGATAGTTTTTTTCCAGCTGATCTTGGTGAGTTAAGTTAAAAACACTTTCAAATGGAAAATTATAATAAAAATAAAAACATGCTTTATACTATTTCTAATAGGCATTTGATAGTTGAAAGTCCAGGGCTTAAGTTAATATTAAAACGATAATGTCAAATAAAGATTTGGGGGTAATCAGCACAATAAGCTGCTTCTAGGTGGGAGGGGTCGGTGTTACTTTGCTAATCATCTCAATCTAAATATATAATTTGGGATGTCTGTAAAAACTGGGTGTGGTGATAAAGTTTATTTCACAAGAATTGCCAAACCACAGCTGATTCACGACCGATGTCACAGAAAACAAATTCTTGAATTCTTGAGCTAATGTTTGCAAGAAATCAATATCTATAAAAAAGGTCAAATCCACCGACATGCCAGAGAATTAGCCTTTCCTCTACTATATGGTTTCAGGATACTTATTTTGTGAGTCAATGTGTACATTAAACAGGCATAAAGTGCATGTCTGTGTCGTTTAAACCACATAGTTTCAGGAAACCTTTGAAATTCGCCAACATGCACATGCAACATTATCAACACCAGAGGACAGCATAACAGCTCACCCCTGTATTTCTGTGTCAACAGGTGCTGACGACTCATGCATCCCGGGGATCCTAAATACTCCTTCAGTTGTAGAATATGGAACAGATTTAGAAGCAAACTGCTCCACCACCAGAGATGACTTTGATGAGCTGACCCTACGGCTTGGAAACACAAGCTGTACAAATCCAGAAAACAATTCTGTGGTTACATGTGCTGCACCGGTGTTAGACTTTAAGATGAAGGTAGAATGCAGGCTAAGGCTAAATGGCACCGAATGCATGAATGCGACTGATATAATCGTATACCGTAAGTTTACTTTCAAGGAAGCTTTTTAGAGCAATATCTAAATACAATAGAGTTTAATTTCTATTTATTTTGTTTTAATAGAAAACCCAGAGGTCAGGCTGTCTGTGAAGAATGGAAGTGATGAGCAAGAAGATTACACACTCCAGTGTGATGTCTTGAGTGATATCCCTGCTCAAAACTATTCTGTCACATGGTTCAAAAACAATGAAACCATAAAGACAGAGTTCATCATTGGAGAGCAAGAAAAAAAAGATTCCTCCATAATGGCCTTCAACATCAGCAGGGAGGAGAAGTTTGCTCAGTTTAGATGTGAAGTTCAACTGGAACTGGAGCAAATAGAAACCAGACCTGTTATTTCTACAACACAAAATGTCTCAGCACGCTGTGAGTAAGCAGGCTGTCTGAAGATAATGTTTTCTTGAATACCTTTTAATTCTCTGCTCTGATGGTCTCAATTAAGATAGCGATGAGTAACATTACTGTGCTTGCTTTTTTAGATGCTCCTGAGCTCAGGATGAATTCTAGTGAAACCATCACTGTGCCCAATGGCGGAAATGTAACCCTGCATTGTGATGTAGAGGGGAACCCTCCTCCTGAATATGTGTGGGCTATAGATGGAAACCCTATTTTTCAAACCACAAAATGGTTGGAAATTGATCAGGTTAATAGCAGCATAATCTGCAGCTGCACAGCTAGCAATGTTCTGGGTAAAATAACCGTGAAAATCCATGTTGATGTTGAAGAAGTGAAGACTGAGGCAGAGAAGCTTGAAAGTATATATTCATCTTAATGTTAAATTGAAAAATTTGCTATCTATTGTGCACCAAATCAAAGTATTGATTCAAATGGTTGTTTTTGATTGACAGATTGTGGGTTGACCCTGACCCCCTCTTACCTTTATGTGAAATATGGTAATCCAGCTTCCATTGATTGCTATACAGCCAGCACAGATTTGGCTAAAATGGCCTGGGAGACTGCCGTCGGGCAAAGCTTTGGAACACCTCCTAATGTAACTTGGAGAGTTGAGAAACTAGAGGACTTCACCGTGAAGCCGTTTTGCTTTGTCACTCTGCTTGATGATACACAGTGCATTAAAAAGCCAGAGATCACTCTTTATAGTGAGTATGCATCATCGTGCCTTCTGGCACAAACTGCTTAAAACCAGAAAATGATTTCTTTATAGGGAAACAGAAGTGGATGTGAATTATTCATTTCACTGTTTTGATTTGTCTACAGAGCCTCCAGATTTGGTGGCAGTCTCTGGCATGGTTAAAATGAAAGAGGGTGAAGAGCATACGCTGCGGTGTTATATTTTCAACGTTGCCCCTGCTAATAAGCTCCAGGTGACATGGTATAAAGACGGTAGAAATGTCCACACAGCTAATTTTGAAAGCTTAGACGTGGCCCCACACACAGAATGCTTTAAAAACTCAGCCGTACACCCCTGTGATGTCTCATCTAACTACACATTTATCCCTAATAAAAGTGACAATGCGTCACTTTTCACATGCACGGCTGAGTTACAGTTTAGACCTGCAGGGCCGCTGCCACCCCCCTCTGTGGCTTCAGCACCTTATACTGCTGTCGTGGAATGTACGTTTTTTCCTTCACATTATGTCTAATATCATGCATACCAAATACCTTAATCCTTATTTCCTCTCATAGATAAACCAACCATCAAAAAATGCATGTTTTCTGGTGTGGAAGATAGCTTCAGACTGCATGATGTGCCCTGTGAAACTGATGGGAACCCTCCACCTGCTATTGAGTGGCAGTACAATGGTACACGGATCGATGAATTCAAGCTCCTGAAAAGGACTGACTCTGGGACCTACAAAGCTAAAGTGTATAATTCAATGGGCGAGGATAGCACTGATGTTGTTATCACAGTTGAATGTGGGTCAACAAGACATCTTTCATATCTCACCAGAGTAGCGCTAAAATGGAGGATTAATTTGAATTTTGTTTGTATTTTCTTTGCAGACAAACCCATGTTTTCTTGTGAGAGGAATTATACGGTTAAAGTGAACGAGAAAGCAAATATTTTGTGTGAACCGGATGGTGTACCCTCTCCCAACCTCCGTTGGTTCAAAAATGGTACTGAGATCGTTCCACATTATTGGAAGAAAAACGAGAGTGGGTGGTATTCACTTAGAGCGTCCAACAAACACGGGGAAGTTGAGCACCAGTTTTATCTGGATATTTTATGTAAGTCATCAACTCTAAGTCACAATCTCACTCTTTTTTTGTGGTAATCGCAGCTGCAAGTAATAGAAGAAGAGACAAAACTATTTCAAAGCTCTTTATTCTCTGTCTTCCAACAGACCCCCCTGTGTTCACAGAAACGAATGCAACCGAGATTCTTGTTGCAGGCAAAAATTTCAGTTTTGTTTGCAAAGCTGAAGGCAACCCTGAGCCTTTGACCGATTGGAGCTACCCGATTAGAGATAATGTACAGAAGACCACTAAGGGGCGCCAGAAGATCATAACCATCACAACAGCCACGTCTACTAATGCTGGTTCTTACATCTGTAATGCCACGAATGAATTTGGGAATGTGACAAGAACAATCCAGCTAAAAGGTATTATTACGGACTCTGTGCAAAAGACTAATGCAAATAAAACAGTAATGTGCCTACACACTAAAAGCTGAGAGTAATTATTTCAGTTGTTTAATTGTTTTTTTCCTCTTACAGATAAATCCACTGACAACTTCCAGTTCTGGTGGATTATCCTAGTGGTGCTACTAATTTTTCTTCTAATCATTTTTCTGGTTTGTTTTTATCGGAGGACCAGAATACATGGGGAATATAACTTTGTTGCTACCAATGACACAAATATAGCTATGCAAAACAGATCTGCTGTAGAGAATGGAGTAAAATCAGCGAATGGTCAGAGCTAAAGTTGAGGAAAAAACAGCCTGTAAATGCACATTTTGAAGCAGTTGGGGAAAAAAGTACTTTTGTGCAAAATGATTCAAGTATAAGAGATATTTGTCAAATTGGTCAGACAAATCAAGGTGGCTGCTTTTATTGTTATTTTTGTCTCTTTTTATATCATATTGTATATTTTTTCTTGCATTATTGACTGTGTACAAAATGAATGCGTGCAAAATCTGGAATCTTTATTAAAAAAATTTCTGATGTGAGATAACTGAGTAACTTTTTACTTATTCTTACTGTTCGTATATTCGATTCAATTCAGTTTATTTATATAACGCCAAATCAGAACAAATTAAGGCACTTTACAGTTCACCAGATTATACAGTCAAATTGATTCAAAGTTTTCTACCTAAGGAAATCCAGTTGATTGCATCAACTCATTGACTAGGATGCAATCACTTACACTAAGCATATTGTAGCGACAGTGGAGAGGAAAAACTCCCTTTTAAACCTCCAGCAGAACCAGGCTCAGTGTGAGTGGCCAGCTGCCGAGGCTGACTGGAGTTCAAGGAGACAGAAGCAGAGGTACTAAAAGCAACTGTAAAAGGCGGCCCCGTCCAGGAAACACACAGCCAGGCAGACGAGCTCAGAGCCAGCTTCCATGTCAGAGGATGAAGAGAGCACATCCAACCAGTCACGGTCAGAAAAACAGGCCAATCTCCAACATCTATAAACAAAGGTGTTGATGGCAGTAGCACAGCTGATATTTCTCTCCAGGGTGGTGTCACAGCCAAACAGGAACAGATGAGGTGAAGCTACTATGAGAAAAGGCAGCGAGAGGATAATGTCAGAGATTAAACTAACAGATTCTGCAGAGTGGAAGAATAGAGATAGAATGAAGCAAAATGATGAAATAGGGGCCCCTATGTTCTCCAGAAGTCTAAGCCTATGGCAGCATAACTATAGAGATAGCTCAGGATAACCTGTAAGCTTTATCAAAAAGGAAAGTTTTAAGCCTACGCTTAAAAGTAGACAGGGTGTCTGCCTCATGGACTAAAATTGATAGTTGGTTCCACAGGAGAGGAACCTGATATCTAAAAGATCTGTCTCCCATTCTGCTTTTAGAAATTCTAGGAACCACTAGTAAACCTGCAGATTGGAAGCGAAGTACTCTGTTAGGAACATAAGGAACAATCAGATCTCTGATATAAGATGGAGCTTGGCCACTTAAGGCTTTATATATGAGAAGGAGGATTTTAATGCATCTCTAAAAAGATTCATTCAGCATCCTGATATCTGGTGTAAAGCTGCAAGATGAGGACATGGCTAAAGTGTCCAAGCAGGGGGGTTCCATGTGTGTGCTGGCCCTTTAAGAGCGCGCTAACCCTGGGATTTGGGAGTGACGCGCATACGTGAGCTACTTTGTCCCTCTGTTTTCTTCGCTATGAAAAATATTTGGATTAACAAGAACAGCGTCTGCCAGCACAAGTTAAAATCGATTGGTTAATTATGAAGCCGATTCAGATGCGTCATTAGAAGAAGCGCCAGCGGATCTTTCTGGTGGTTTACTGATTGATCAAGTCGGGATTGTGTTTGTTTGCGGGCCGTCGGTCCTCTGATCTGCTGCTGCTGGGATAACTTTGGAAGAACTTCTTTGTATTCAACAAACAGCCTGGTGGAGATCATGGACTGGGGAACAGAACTTTGGGTGAGTTCATATTGAAAACTATAATCAGGATGATAAAAATGCACAGTTAGGTCTTTTTCTCTCACCCTGATGAATTTGCAGTAGAATAAAGTTTGATCAATGAGTCAAAATCTTTGCAAAATAAAGCCCATAAAAGCAACCCCCCCTTTCTTCTTTTTTTTTTTTTTTTTTGCAGATCTTCAATAAAAGTAGGCCTACTGCATTGCTTTGATTATTTCAGTCATAAGACATTTAAGGTCGTGTTCACGGTTTGGGGCAAAGCATGAAGATTGATTTCCTACAGTGTCAAAACTCATTTTGTTCTGCATGCGGGTGCTTAAACCGTATAAGGGATGTGTATTTTCTTTGTTTACATTTTGTCACACTTGGCTTCCATAGAGATGAAATCAGCTGCTGTGATGTGGCTTGGCAACAACACACATCACTGATAAGGTGCCCCTACCTGAGTGACATGATTTCAATATACTAAGGGGGGATCTGCACTTAAAAGAGCTTTGCGCAAGGTTAAACCAAACAAAGGTAGTGCAGCTTTGTGTTGGATATTAAGTCATTTTCTTAGAAGAAGTGAACGGATTGGCACCTGAACAAAACAAGCTTTGACACTTATGTTGTTAGGGAGCCTAGAAGTGGAGCATTGCAAAGAGGAGGGAAAGGAGGTTTTGGCCTCATTACTGTCTCCCTCCGGGTATGCACTCTCTTTTTCATCCCATGCAATGGTGCAAACAGCCTAATTAGTTATGCCCTACTTTGAAAAATTCAAACATAGTCCTGTTACACGGCAGAAAGTTTCTGCAGGTGCTTTAAGTTTATTCTGCACATAATATCTAAAGGAAAAGGTTGATATTTCATGCAAACTTAGAAAAAAACATATATTGTTTAATGTGGGTGCAACTATGTCTGCCTGATCATCATTGGTTTTGTTACTGTTTGGCTGCAGAGTCAAAGCGCAGGTCCAATCAGCCGTCTGGCATCTGTCTTCCTGATTGTTGTTAATCCGGTGGCTATTTTAAGGTACTAGTTGGTGCAGGGTCTGAGCTGTAGTTGTTAGTGAGTGCAGCTCCTGTGCTTCAGGTCTAGCCGGGCCATGCCCCTGATTTTCTGCAGGAATGAATGATTCAAGCCTGAAATATTTGTAGAAGCTTTAGGAAAGAAACATGGCTCCTCTCAGCACTGAATGGCTTTGATGCTAATTAGATATTTGTTTTGGTTCAGGAACATAGTGGCAACAGTTGCATTAGGGAGAAGATGATCACCTGCTGCATAATGCTTTGGTGTAACAATAAGAATTCAGAAAGTATCTGGAGCCTAACAAAAATATTTCATTTAAACTAAAATGCGAACACTACAAACAAAACCTGTTAAAGTTGCTTTACACAATCATTTCTGAATTTTAAAAATCAGTTGAGCTCTAACCACCCAAGCAAAGGCCTTTAAAGATAGTTTTGACTGCGGCTTTGGGATGCAAACAATATTCTGAGTGCTGTGGTTTTAAAAGACACCAATTAGGTGCCTTTACCTTTTTTTTCTAAACATAACAATAGTATTTTAAATTATGCGTCTATGAATAAACCTTCCTTTTTAAAGTTTGGATTAATCAAGGAAAAAAAAGTTGTATATAGAGATGGTATTCCTATTTTATTAAAGAGAATCCAGGTCATTACTTGTAGGCTACTTTAATTGTTTGGATTCCTTTGAAATGTTTTGGGAATGCTGTTTGTGCTGTTGGGGCCAAAGAAGGGGAGTGGAAAAACATCTAGTAAAACTGCTGTTTTCTTCCATAATGTAAAAAGTGTCTAACAAAGAAAAAAAACCTCCTTTCTACTTCCTTGGGACAAAGAATATTTCCTTAGAATATTTGTTAGAGTTTACATTAGCAGCCATGTAAAGTGAAAATTGATCAATGGTACAAATGACAAGTGTCAATTTAGAATGAGAGACAAAAAACATGGTTGGAAGCCTGAAATCAAATATGCAGTTGCTCATGTTAGATTTGCAGAGCTTTAAAGTTGGGGGTAGGGGTGTTCTATCCATGCTGAGGTGCCTGTTTATCTAGGTTAGATTCCTCAAATGTGATTACTCTTATCAGGTTTGTTTTGTGAAACTGTTTTGCTTTTGTATGTAAATATGTAACAAGGCAGAAACATAAGAGGGTTTAAGGTCTATAGGCACACACTCCATCTTCATCCAGGACAGTTTTCTACTTCCTTTTCACTCTCTAATTTATGTTGTAGCACAAACTGAACCCAAGTCAGAAATCCAATATGCAAACAATATCCTAAGTCATGCAAACTACTTGTTTCAGGATTAACCAACAGTATACAACTTTTAATCTGCACTTTTGTTGTTGTGGTGAATGAGGGTAACTCATAAGTATCAATAAATGTCGTATGTCAAGATATACCTGAGAATCAAGCAGGAAAATTAGAGCCACATTCAGCTTTTTTCTTTGAATTGTAAATGTGACGCTTCCCTCATCTCTGGCATGGAGGTGGGAATAGCATTATTTGAAATGTTTTACAAACTTATTGGTTTACTGCTTTAACTAGATGACATGAGCCACTTAAACTTAATAAACTGTTTTCATTTGAGTTTCAAAATATTTACGCTTGCAGTAAAATCCAAATACTCACAAACATCATTCTACTTATTTTATTGCAAGCTTTAAAGGACATGTTTAGGGAGAACAGTTTCTATATTGATACGAAGGAAAAAAATGTTTGGGTGTTCCTGTCTGAAAAATAAAGCGTATAACAAATTACAATTGTTTATTTCTAAACTTAAAGCTAAAGATAACATGATTTATTATTTACTTTATTAGATTCACATTTAATCTTTTCAATAAATCGTCTAAATTTAAGAAGCCTGAAGATCTGATTTTGTCATATTTAACAGAAATGCTGGAGATTCTGCACAGATAAAAAAAATATGTAAGCGATGGGCAATTATTCAAATAATGTAAAATAAAAGGCTTCAAAAGACTCTTTGCAAAGAAAAAGAGTTGAAACAATTAAAGGCCCGTTAAACAATTTTCAGCATTTTAATAAGCATAGAAAACATATTCTTTTTGGTAATTTTTTTTATGCCTTTTGCATTTTATTGTAGCTTTGACTTAAAAGCTGTGAATATATGTGGCTATTGTAAGGTAAAAATATAATTGCTGATTACTTACAAACTTGTGATTTTAAACATATTCAAAAGAAATAAATCATTAAATGAAAAACCAGAAACTAAATAAACATCAATTTCAATTTAGTGAGAATAAAGTGTACAAAGCTTGACCCTTTTAATAGCCCATTAATTAGCTTTATAGTTCTCCTAAAAATTCTTATCTTTTTTAGTGATAATAGATAGTAGTTAAATAATTAGCATAAATTATTTAGCAGTTTTCCTGAGGAGGAGATTTAATTTTATTTAAATTTCCCTCAAGCTAAAGATTTAGCAAGTTTGAAAAAATAAAATGAAACAGATCTGGTAGAAAAATTAAAGTCTGTACAGGAAGGGAACAGTAAGGCCTGTTTTTAGTTGGCATTTGTGACCATATATTGATAGATTGATCTCAGCCCTTTTTAACTGCATGTATGATTAGCTCAAATATCTGTTATTTGAGGACCAGTCTAATTTGTTTTACCACTAGAGAACAAGGCCTGACATGTAAGGAATCCGTTTTTAACAGGCCCTGAGCTCAACCTAAAAGTCAGCTGCGGGGGAAGCCGTACAGTGAGGAAAGACGATCATCTCTCAACACATTATAACTTGCCTGAGCTTGAAGGGGTCGTAGCATCCATTACAAGGTGAAGCAGAGAATGAAAAGAAATCATCTGCCATCTTATATGATGGAACAGCAGGAAAGAATGTTGCTGTAAATGATAGAAAATTGTTCATCATACCTGACTGCTCTTCCCCATTTTAAGAGCATTCAAAACAATAACATGCAGACAAAAAGCTTGTTGGGTTTAGTCTATCCCCTCCTATTCCAGATTCTTCTAGGTCAGGGCTGCCCCAGTCCAGTCCTTTAGCAATCCTGAATCTAACCGTTGAATTTTCTCAGCATTTATTCAGAACAGCAAAAACCTACTAATGAGGGGCACTGAAGAAGGGATGCATCTAGAAGCGGCAGAATAGTGGGCCTCGACTGACTGGACTTGGGCAGCCCTGTTCTTGTTGCTCTAAGTCTTTGAGAAACATAACAGCTGTGGTCTGAATTTCAGCTCATCTCTGAAACGTTCTTTTTCGTATTTGTCTTCCCGCTCCTTTTCTTAGGACCAATATGACATCATAGAGAAGCACACGCAGTCTGGTCTGGAGCTGGTGGAGAAGTATGTGAAGTTTGTCAAGGAGAGGACGGAGATTGAGCAAAGCTATGCCAAACAACTGAGGTACCCCTTCTCTCTCATACTGACCATCTCACATTTTTGTGTGCAGCTCAAAGCAACTTGTGTTTGTGTTTAAATGTTTGCATGTTAGAAGCTTGTTTATGAAATGCTTGTTGGTCTTATGACTGCTCTGGGACAGATTCTAGCTTGTCCCTGAAACACTAGCCCAATTCTCCAGCTGCTGCATGCTTTCTGCCTCCCGTCTCTCTTTCTCTCCTTATTCTCGGCACTTTCTCACCCAGTTGTTTCCTCACACACACACATACACACACAAGCCCACATCTGTTGTAGTGCTGAGCTCTGCTGGAGAGGGGAGGAAGTGGGAGCAGACTGGCGCATGATAGAGTGGATGTGGTTAAAAGGATAGTGAAAGAAGGAAAAGCAGCAATTATTCATAATATATCTTTGTTTTGAATACAGTTCTGTTAAACAATTACAGTGGTAGCATAAGAGTGTCTTCTATCTTTTTTTAGTCATATCCCATTAAGTTTGTTGAATAACTTGGTTTTCTTTTTATATCCACACCTTCAGGAATCTTTCTAAGAAGTATAACCAAAAACGAAGCAGCAAAGATGAGCCAGACTGCAGGTAATTTCATTAAAAGTCCTTTTACTTTCTGTCAAATCTTTATGAGGAGTTACCCCGTTACCAGTGCTCTTCAGAAGATTGTTATGGACCAACGCTTGTGACACTTTAAATGCCCTCAGAAGGAAACAGGAATAAGGAAGTAACAAGCTCCTTATCATAACTTAGCTTGCCTGCAGAGTCTTTTGCAATTACCACTATCAGTGGTCCCATCTGCATGTCCTCATCTCTCCACCCTTTCCTTTCTCCCACATAACAGGCTATCCAGCTACCAGTCTTTTTTGGACATCCTGAATGAGATGAACGACTATGCAGGGCAGAGGGAGCTAATAGCCGAGAACATGATCATGAACATTTGCATTGATCTTACCAAGTACCTGCAGGAGCTCAAGCAGGAGCGAAAGACGGTGAGCTTGATATACAAAGTAAAAATTAAAAGTTCAGATATTTAGTCATTTCAGATTATGAATTTAGAATATCTACACAGCCCTGTGAAAATGCAGGATTAAAAAAAAAGGAGAGATATAATCTGAGAGTATAATCCCCCTGTAATGTGACATTAATTCTGTACAATTCGTCTCTAAGGCAGTGCTGCTATTAGTGCTGTTGCTTTGCAGTAAGAAAGACGTTCTGGGCTTTATATTGCTTGATGCAGAGTTCTTTCTGAATAAAGTTTGCATAGTCTCATCTGTGCATATGTTAGTTTTCTTTCAGTGCTCCAATTTTGTGTTTTTTTTCCCCCCATTGTCCAGAAACATGCAGATCAAGTGAAGTGGTCCCTTTTAATTTTAAAATGAACTTTGACCGGCACCCTATCAAAGGCCTTTTGCAGGACTTGTCCTTGAAAGAGGTCTGTCAGTCCCCATATCTCAACTCTGTATCATTTTGTAAACCTATGCTTGAACTCAATTAAACACCTTGAGGTTTGGAGTTTGAACAGAACTGTTCAGCCTTCATCTGAGTAAATGTCACCCCACAGCATGATGCTGCCACTGTTACGTGGTTAAGGCCACTGATTTCATTCTAAAAGTTGGCAGTCGGGAGAAATGCATACATTCACATGCTGTTCAAAAAAGATGTGTGTACACATGTAACCACATACCTCTGCTCCATACATCCATACAAAAATAAGTTTGCAAATTATTTACCCAGGGACTACGGATGGAAACTAGCTAACTTTGGTACAAGACATCTCTTCTTTTAAGAGTCATGCATTTTGTACACCGTTTCTGTTATAAATAAATTAAAGTCACAATGTGTCCAAATACCAATGACAATGGAGACTTTGTCTGCAGACCATGAGGGTAACCCAACAACTTCTTCAGTGACTCAAATCCCTCTAAAGATAAATAAAATGTTAGATCATTTCCGTTCCATCCATTTTAAATCCAAACTGTGCTTTTTAGCTTTGCATTGAGCTCAAAGCATAATGCTGATCATTGCAATATATAAGAAATTGATGTAAAGATGTGGATATGGCTCCCATATTTATATTAGGAAGACTGTGACCATCACACACAATATGATGCACTTTAAATCTTTAAAGCAATTCTGGGATGTTTCTTAATAAAAAACCTTGCAGGAGTCATTGCTCATGGCGATTGCTTAAAGTATGTTCCCAGCATAATAATAATAATAATAATAATAATAATAATATACAGGAATCCTTTGATAAACTGCCAAATTTCCACTTTTTTATATTGCACATCATAAATGGATGGAACATTAATAACATAAAACCTGCTTTTTTTTTTCACTAGGCTTGATTCAGCCATAGTTCTGGATTTCATTTGGAAATCAGCGCCACGCTGTATAGGAGAGGCATAGTTATGGGGAATCGTTTATATATATGAGCAAAATATAGATGAGGCCGTTCCATATGGCTGGAAAGGGATGACTGTGAAACAGCCGACCTATAAGTCAGCCCCCTGTGAAAAGCTTAGGTGGCAAAGAATGCAGCTTGGTAAGCACTTGAACCGACACCGATGACACATGGCCACTCCTAGTTCCTGTATCTCTGTGGCCAGTTTCAAGATGATTGCCCTGAGCAATTTTAACTGGTTAATAAGGCATCCATCATCATGTGCCACTAGGTCAGTAGGATCACTAAGCACATGTTCTATCTGAATTCTTCTATTGGCCACATCCTGCAGCAGTACTGAGGCTGTCAGCACCCTGCAAATGTATGTTCCTCTGTTCAGCTATTTATGAACATGTGTCATTGGTCTACAAAGAATAGGGCTCCTTTGAAAATGCACATGCATTTTATGGATGTTAGTGCACAGACTGATGTGCATTTCCTAATGCATGTGACAGGAAGAGAAATACATGTGCACTTTACATCTTACTAAGATCTTTGGTATTATTTTTGCATTCTGTTACTGTACAAAACAAAATGTGAGTCAGTGTTGTCAGTGAGATTTAGGAGTTAAATGCATGAATAAAACTTTGACTACGATCCACATTGTGTTAAATGTAGTGATATTTCATTGTGTTTAGATGAGTTTTTGGACTTTGAGGCTGTGTTCATTGAATACGTTTTTGTGACTGTCACCCCTTTTTAAGGCAGAAATGTTTGTGAGGATTACAGCACATGTTTACGCAACTTTCATTTTCATATGTGTCAAAGTTGTGCATGAAAGCCCTGTAAGGTTATTTTTTACACACAGTTTGCACATAAGGCATTTTACTTTAAAGTCCCCACATTTTGTTGGTAATATGGGATAATAAAGTTAAAAGTGGTTCATTTAGTTTTATTTCCCATAAATCAGTGCATATTTGTAGTGGCCAGTTAAATCTGGTTTTACCTGAACACAGGCCTTCTCAAACAGCTCACTTATTCCTAATCACAGTCAGTTTGCTAAGCTATTCTTGCCTGTAAGTTGAATAGAAATATGTTTACTATATACTGTCCAGACATAGTGGTGTGTGCCCTCATGACCATATTAAGAAGTATTTTGACAAACCGTCAAAAGGGTTTTATAACACACTGTTGGGCTGGAATACAAAGCATGAGGGAGGATTAGAAAAAGTCGATGTGAGGAGATTTCATTGCTGCAGCAGGAAAGGAGTTCAAGCGTCTCCTAAGGGAGATATGGTCTGTGCCGTGGTGTTCCATTTCTCAATGAGAAATGCTCTCTTTGTCACGTTAGACTGCTCAGTATTGCCACAAACAGACAATCGCTAAAGAGGCCTCCCGCAGACACACTGGTATTTGTTTTCTTGTCTGTTATGCTGTGTGGCTTTTTTATGTTATTGTTTATTCTGTGCTCTCCTCCATATCTCTATCTTTTTATTTAATTTTTTTTTTTTAAATGTTTGCAGTATCTTTTGGAGGCCAAGAAGGCCCAGCAGAGTTTGGAGAGCACCTACAAGCAGCTTGACAATGTAAGTGTAGTTTTAATATTGAAAAATCTTCTGATGAATGTAACTGTGGCCTCGGGGTTAAAAGCAAAGACGAGCACAATCTTATGAGTGAGTGGCTGGACAAGCAGCCCGGTCAGGCAGGTGACCTTATTTGTTTATAGTCAAAACAGGCAGAGTGGGAAGCAGCCTTATTTTAAGTTCTCATATTTGTACTATCAATCCAACTCCTGCGTAGCGCCACAGCACTCCTTCATATTAATCAGTAACTCTGGTAAACATCTGTGAAATCATTTGTTTTAGTAAAGCAGCCTAATCTCACAGTGAAAAAGTTAACAATCAAGAATTCAACATTTAGGGAAATGAAATAAAGTTCCCTTTAAGTACTTGTTATTCACTTGTATTAAAAAAAACTTTTTTAAAGGACTGGTGCCCCCACTTCTTGCACCCAAGCTGCTATTGATTAGTTATGTGTGTTTTGTCAGTCAGACAGCTTGTTTTTTTGTTTTATATTTTTAATTCCTGGGCCAGAAAAATAAAAATGATCTTTAACTATTTTTCTTTGCACACCATCTATCTTGCTGTGTATGAATGTTCATTTTACGTCTAGTAATCATTTATTCTTTTTTATTTGGAAATCTACTTTAGATCCATATCTAAGCTATACCAGATTTTTTTTTAAATGTTTTGTATTTCAAGGAGTTCATCCAGCTCTATAGTCTGTACTGTAATCACCAATTATTCAGCGACTATACAGCCCTGCTCTGTATGTCTGTAATATATTTAATGATACGCTTTTGTGTACTTCAGCACAAAAAGGTAGTAGTTTGGTATAGAAACTCCACAAAATACTACATGTAAGCAGATTTTCTTGTTAAAACAGCAATTGTCTGCCACAACCAACCGCTCTGAGACGGGAATAATACATTTTGTGTTTTATGTCTATGTATGCTATTAGCCTAAGGCAGAAGGATAATGATACTTTTAAAATATTTGCTTGTTTATCACAAGTCCTATCATTATCGCAACATTCAAAAACATTCGCATATCATAGATGATCAAAATTCCACTGCCACAGGCCTCGAAAAGCTTTGCAGACATGTTCAATGGACTGACAAATCCAAAATCACTGTCAAACAATTCTGTTTGGGCTTTGCAATTCCTAGAACTGTGAAGTTTGATGCAATGGGGATGATCATTTCAGAATGTTTTTTTTTTATTTTATTTTAAGAGTAAAAGAGAGACTTAATTCCTCACAATACTGCAACACATTTAGAAACATTTTATGCTCCTAACTTTGTAGGGACAGGTTGGAGATTAACTCTTTCTGATTTTTACACGACTCGCCACTGGACAAAAGAAGATCCATTAAAACCTAAATAGGCTGAACATGGATAGCTTTCCCACTTTGACCTCAAAGCTACAAAATACCTTTGGGATGAATTTGAATGGAGAATGTGAAGCAGGCATTCTCGTCCAACATTGATGTCTTATCAAAAATTCCCAAAGTAACACCGAAACACATGGAAAAAACAAATTTCTCAGTGTAGTTGAAGCTACATATGATGGAGTGACACAGCTCAGGGATTAAGAATAGCAGTTCATCATTAAGATCATCTATGTGTGAGCATGAACAAGGAAATACAGCAACATGTTTAAATGTAGGTTTAGTTTTAGGTGTTTGGTGGGGGCGTCATAACTGCAATTCAAGAATAGTAGGTGGTGACTTATTTTCAAATCCCTGTTCATTCTAATGCAATCTATCCAAAAGAAATTACATTTGAAATAATTACATACAGTGAACATTTCTCCTGATTATAATAAAGGACAAAGCTGTTTATTCAAAAACAGGAAGATATCATCGCACCTTTGTGCAGAAAGTAAAGATTTTTGTTTGTTTAATCTTATCTACAGAGTAAAAAGCGCTTTGAGAGAGAGTGGAGAGAAGCAGAGCGTGCGGCACAGTATGCAGAGAAGACAGATCAAGACATCAATGCCACGAAAGCCGACGTTGAAAAAGTAAGAACGACTGTAAAATACTATGTTTAAACAAAATTAAAGTTGCACTTTATAACCTGTCTAGCTTCATCTGTGCTTTTTAGGCCAAACAGCAAGCTCACATGAGAGCATGTGTAGCAGAGGAATGCAAGAATGACTACGCTGCCCACCTTCAAAAGTACAACAAAGAGCAGAACCAGTTTTATTTTAATGACATGCCAATTATTTTCAATGTAAGTAGATCTGCTGCACACAGTGCTGACATCAGTTCCTTTGGAGTTTTAGCATAACTGTGGAGTAATAAGTGAGGATTGGGTAGCCAGATCTGAGAAAAACTGCAATTGAATCAAATGTATAACAGATACAAAAAACTTGGTTTTTAACTTGGAAGTGTTTCGTTGAAAGTTTTTTTTTTTTTTTTTTTTTTAGATATATATGCACTCCCTGTGCATATATATAAATATATATACCTGTCACTTTAAATAAGTGACAGGTATTTTCATGAATTGCCAGATAACAGTCAATTGTGTATAAATGATTTTGATAAAAGAAATGTGTCTCATTTATTTTAAGATAGATTCAATGTGCTGAAATTTTTAATTACTATGTATGCATCATATTAACTAGAAAACTAGGTTTTGTGCTTATATTTTGCTTAGTCTTATGAAAATCAACAGTAACATAAAGGTCCTACTATTGAGAGTTTGATTTGAGAAAATGGGAAGCATCAAAAGTTCAACTTTAGTCAAATAATAGCGGGTATTTTTAATGTATTTATTCACCTTTTATGATATGGACTAAGCTGTGGAAGAGACATTTCTATTAACCCATTTTCTCCGATTCTTTTGCCTTTCTACATTTCATCTTTTAGAAGCTATAATATTGCTTGTGTATGCTAAATATTGTCCAAGTATCTAAATAAATATTTGTGCTTCTGGTGTGAAAGGGAAGACAAAAAACTACCTGAACCCATTTAAAGGTTCTGAAAAAGGTTGAAGATTGTGTTCCAATATAAATATTGTATCTCAAGTAATGGTTTTGTTATTTCTTTTTTTGTTGTATTTTCTAGAAATTGCAGGATTTGGATGAGAGGCGAATACAGAAGTTAGGACAAGGCTACATCTTGTTCTCAGAGACAGAAAAGCATGTGATGCCTATCATTGGCAAGTGCCTAGAAGGCATTACTAAAGCTGGCACTAATGTTAATGAGAAAAATGTGAGTTGGTTTTAGACACTGACCTTTTTATTCAGCAGGATGCATCTATTCAGTAGTTAGTTCTTGGAAATTATTATTCATAATGAATTGAGCTTTCTTCCATAAATAAGCATTAATCCAGCTTCTCTCCATAACCTCGTTTACTGCAGGACACAATGGTTATAATAGAGCAGAATAAGTCTGGATTTGAACGTCCTGGAGATCTGGAGTTTGAAGATTACAGCCAGGGCATTAATCGAGCCTCTTCTGACAGCAGCCTCAGTACACCTAAAGGCCCTCTGGACCTACTGGGGAAGAACAAAAGTAAAAACTTTTGGCTTTTCAAGAGGAGTAAGGTAGGACATTTTATTCTTACAAGCTGGCAGTGATATGATCTGACTTTGTAAGATTTGAATTAGTTTTATATTCCCCTCAATCTTTAATTTAAAAACATACACAAAAAAAAAAATGTATCGATGTCTTCCATTATCAATGCATGGTTTCAGAGGTGAGTTTCTGTAACTTAAACTGATGGGTTATAAGAACTCAGTCATAGCTCCAAATGTCAAATCAAAGAACTTTCTTTATTCTGTTTTTGCCTTTAACTATGAAGAGGCTTTGATGGCTGATTTCAGCTGTTTGACACAAGGTTGTTAAAATTTCTGATCTGAGAAAGGGGAGAAAACGTCTGCTGCATAAAAGGAATAAACTGTCGCTCTTTTTCTTTTTAAGATCTGCTTTACACTCACTGGATTTTAGTGTTTGCCTCACTTTGCTGTGTGAGTTTGTACTTTTGGACTATGATCGATATAAGTCTGAGGTTGTCTAGTTTTCTTCTATTTTCTGTCAAGACCTTTGATTTCTCATCGCTGCGTCATCACTTGTTTTCTCATTCACCCACCACACATTACTATATGTGTGCTGCAAAACTCCTTTGTTCCCTGCAGAATTTACAGCTGATATTGTGTTGTAGGTTCCCATCTAGTTTTGTTCGCAGCTCTTTTTATGTTGTGGATTTATGCTCAGACTTTAGGACTGTCTCCTTTGTCAGCACTCTGTTTGTGTAAGTCAATAAATCCCCTTTCCCTCCATTATTTACTTGCATTTAGACAGTTAAGTGCTGAGTTTAGGCTTTTAAAGGGGATTCCTATTCACCAAGCACTGCTGCAGCATTCATGGTTCTTAAACTTATTCGCATTTGGTTAGATCAAATCATCACATTTTAAATTGTATTGTTTCTCATTAAATAAAAGTATTGAACAGTAGGGAAGCTGAAAGAAAACAATGCACATCATTTCAAAATTCAACTGTCTTTGTATGAATCCATTTTAATTCAATATTTCTCAATATTCATGATATCTGTTGCAACGAAAGGCTATTAAAATATACCAAGTAAACAAGCAAATGCAGCTTTTATGTTAAGGCCACATAGGTTTGTTAGAGATGAGTGAACTAACAGAATCTTGGAGTCCATTAAACACATCAGACATCTGACAGCTAAAAGTTTTTGAGAAGGTTTAATCACATCCCAAGCTTTAAACATCTGACAGAGAACTGTTCATTACAAACAGAGGCTCATGTTAACTAAAAGAGTCACAGAGATCTCTTCATAGAAGAAAACCTGTTGAGAGGACAACTGTTAGCACTACATTCAGCAAATTGATATTTATAGAATAGTGACAAGAAGGGGGCCATTGTGGGGGAAAAAAACATAAGAAGTTTCCTCTTCAGTATGCCACAAGCTACATCCCCATGCAAAACAGTATGGGGTGGAAAACCTGGCTCACAGTCACTTTCCTTTAGCAGGGTGAAATGGTTGGTGTTAATTGGGTGATAAATGAAGCTAAATAAATGACAATCATCAAAGTAACTGATAGAGATTTGTGTTTTAAGAGGGACAAGACCCCAAAGCATATTATTGCGTTAGACTGGCCTAGTCAAAGTCCAGATCTAAATCCAACTGTTTCCAAAGTGATGTTCACAGAAATTCAACATCCAACCTAAAAGAGTTTGAGATAAATGCATATTTATTTTGCACTTATTAGCACAGATGTCAATCTTTTATTCTGCAGTTTTTGCAGTTTCTGCAAGTCTCTAAAAGACTTGAAGATCAAACTGCAGTGAAAGGTGGTTAAACATACATATTTTGGAGACCAATAACTCAAAAACCACAAATTCTTTTCCATCTACTTCAGAATTACCCCTACCTTATTGCTATTGCCAATTATTGTATTTATTTATTGTTAATATAACTGTAATTGGATTAGCTTTGAGATGCGGTAAAGAAATGAATGTAAGTAAGAATCTTGATTTTTAAGGGTAGCCAGTACTTCTACTGAAGACAAATTCCCTTCTGAACAATAACGATGATTTATCCATTATATTGGTCTAAGAAAAAGAAAAAAAAAGAAAACATGAATATTTGATATTTTGATGTGAATGAAAGCTTCTGCAAAGTTCTGCAGTTTATATGACTACACAGGATGACTTCATCTTTTGAGTGTTTTAATATTGTAGCCGACTTCAGAAACTATGAAAATGTCCTGATCTCCAATGAAGCAAAACCAGAACTTTTAATAAGGCCTTAGAGGTTCAACAAGCATGAAAACAGCAGCTGCATTGCTTCCCTCTCACTTCCCCCCTTTTCTACAGACAAAGGTGAATGTTTAGTAAAGTAAAATATGTGGTTGAACCCCTGGATATAAATCAGGCAAATAATTTCTAATGAACTGACAGATTAATTTGTGACTCGGTTGTTCCTATAGAGTTTGTTTAAGGTATGAAATTACAGATTTAGTCTTCTGACTTTGGAGACTATGTACATCAGTTTTATGACTGGGCAGATGTAAAAATGTTGCCAAAACTGTTGTGTTCTAAATGTCTTTGCAAATGGAACGCCTTTGAGCACATTCACAGCCTTTATTTCTACAGGAAAATTGTTTTTCACATTGATACAGAACCTGTTTCCAGCTTTTCATCCCCTGAGTCAGAATACTTGTTGGGAATAATAAACAAACTCAAAATGGTAATGTTGCTATTTTAGGATAATAGTTGACTTCTGGCTTGCCAGAACCAGGAAATCCTCCCAACAGCATGTTTAGTGAACCTGTAGTTATGGCAACACACACACACACACACACACACACACATTGCGGCTAAAAAATGTGAATACTTTCTCAACTCAAAAGCTCAGTATATGAATGCATGAGTCTCTTTTGTCTCATTCTGAATATGCATAAACACTCCAGCACTTCTAGAAAATGCCTTTTTGCATGATTCTATCCCTGGCTGTGAGTGAATAAACTTCGACCATCCGACCACACATACACACACCCACACCCACCCACCCACTCACCCACCGACGCACACACACACGTAACTCTACATTCTGGCTTCCTATAGGTCAATTTGCAGTCAGCATTTTGCTGTGCTTGTGGTTTCATAAACACGAGACCCAAACTACATTGAATTCTCCTCCCTGGGCCTCTACAAACACACTGGCTCTATTATCCTGCCCAGAACCTGGCATTATGTGCATCACAACAAATGCTATGTGCCAACGTCACAATGAAGCTCAGTTTGTTATGATATGAAAACTCAATCAATTTATGTTTTTACATATTTACATTTGTCTTTAAGAATCTATTTGGAGCACTGAGCAATTTACACTGCTATGAAACAGTAAGCTGTAATATCCCATACTGGTGCAATGGTTGGCTGACTGCTAACCAGCTAATGGCCCCCCTCCTCCAGTCCCAAAACTGAATGCTCCCTTCCTTCTTCCCCGCAGCGTTTTGCTTGTTCAGCACCTCTTCTTTTCTCTGCATGTCTTAGTGGCTGTGCTTTGCTTTGCACTCTTCCTGTCCTGTGTATGTGTGAGGCACAGAGCTCTGTGTCATCAGTCATGCCCTCCCAATTAGACCTTTAAAGTGTGAATAGGAGATTGGGTGTACTGGTTCGAATAAGCTCTTGTTTTATATCTGGGGCTTAAGTTATTCTAATAACAGAGCTCCAGTTGTTAAAGCTCTATAACTTTAAGAAATATAGCACCAAAGAAGCAGACATTCCCATAATAACAGTCCTGTGCTTCTGGATTTCTGTGTTTACTCTTGGGATCTTGTCGCAGGGCAGTTTAGGCCTGTTTGAAGACTAGAAGCCATCAGCATACTGTGTAATTTAGCTAATGGACCCCACCCCACCTCCTTTCAGCTTAGATGTTGAGGTTTGTAGTTCACTCCTGCCAGGTCATCAGTTTAACCTCTCTCTCACAAAGGGCATTTGCTCTGCCTCTAAAATCTATATGTGCCATTCCACTGTGGTAATTAAGTCAGCTATTTATAACCACTGAACTGTTTTACAAGCTGGTTTTTATTTATGTAGGTCATTTTCTAGAAAGACCTACATTTATACATGTTTTTTGTTGTAACTCTGCACCTTGTTAACCAGCTGTTTACTTTTTCAGTATTTGTCAGTTTTCATTAAAAATCTTTTCATTAAAATTACAGACTTCCAAACTCTGAGAAAGCTGTCATGTAAATAAACAGCTGTAAGCGGTTTCATCACAAAGCGGCAAATAAAGACACTGAAATGTTGGCCTTGAAATCTGTGATAGTGCAGAGGTTTAGTCTCAGTGACCCGCCCCATGATCCTCACTGGGACTCGCTCCGCCCTGCAGCCTCACCTGGGTTTTGTTACCAGTGTTGGGCTAGAGTAGCACCAGTGTGGAGGCATCGCTGGTTTCTTACCGTGTCATTTTTGTGCTTCTGGTCATTCCATGCAAATTCGCAGTTCGTCAAATCCACATTTACTGCAGTACTCTCTATTTATGGATTCCCATAAATTTTTAGATTCAGACATTTTTAAGAAGTGGAAATCCTGTCCCCTGTTCTGACTGAATACAATAACAGTTAAAACGGCTTTTACAGTATATTTCAGGAGGAACAAATATTGCAAATAATGATATATCTTCCTTATTTTTCAATTTATTGCAATCTATGCTTGATATGGCTTATATGGTATATATTCTTTATTTTCTTAAGCAATATCTTTGAAGACAAGCTTGTATGCTTGTTATTAACTATTTTCTCCACTTAACTTTGCAGTTTTGTTCTTTTTTCCCCTGCCTTTTTAGGTGCTAGACAAGCCTTTTTTCCACTGGATTTCAGCTCAACAGCCTAAAGTGATTTTCTTTATATTAGCCCTGCACTACAAATTAAAGGCATTGTGTTTCTATCACTTTAAAAAGCAGGAGGCTACTCTGTTGTTTTGGTTCACCCAGAACATTATCTTTTTTTGCATTAGAATCAGCTTGCACAACTGGGATCAGAACCACAAACGATGGGAGACGGTGTAAAGCATAGACTTCTGGAATTGTGTTTTATATTTATTTATTTTCATAGTTGGAAGAAAAAACAAAAAAACAAAACAAATGTATGTCGATATGAAATGGTTAACTACATGAGTGAGTAAATGGTTTATTTATAGATTCAAAATGAAGGCAGAAAATGAACTATCTGGGAATGAAAAGCTACATGAAAATTTGGTAAACGGGTTTCATTTACCCGGAGTTTACAGCCACTTTTGCAGAACAAGACTATTGCAGAACAAGCTATTACATCACTAAGCTCTGAGACTTGGTCATGTGGCACAAACCAGACATAATCAGGCTCTTGTTATTACATATTCAAAAACTTCAATGCTTTACAGCTCCAGGCAGCTTTTTTTTTTTTTTAAGTTTCTAGAGTTTTCCTGATTGATTATCATTGCTGAAACGACAGTGAGTTGGCATGGAATGTCTTATTTGATTAGAACCAACGATGTATGTTCGTGCTTTCATGCTGTTTGGGCTTGTGTGCGGGGTTTGTAATGTCTGCCAAGCATTGTGGTGTGCTGTAAGGTGTTGACGGTGTCTTTTTCTTTCCTTTGTCACCATTTTTTTGTGTGTTTGTCCTCCCTGCCCTCTCCCACATCTGTTTTATCCTCTTTTACCCCCTTCTTCCCTTTTACACCATTAAATACCTGCACACCTTATTTTTGGGTGCTGGTTCATTCGGTCTTGCCTGACCCTCAGCTCTCCCCCTCAACACACACTCCTTTTTCCACACCCCCTGCCCCTTCACCTCCAAACGGAGCCCCTTCCCCCAAGTTTGGCCGGGATCCTCTGTCGTACTGTTTGAAGGAGATCAATAAGACAGTCAAACCCAGAATCTCTTCATTCCGGACACTCAGGAGATCGGTGAGTGACAAGAGGAGATGATTGGGTTGTAAAGCATCCAGCACTTCTAATGATTTTGCCATAAACCTTTGCTCTTTGCTTCAACAAGAGATTCTTTATCACTAACAGAGTTTAGGCATGTCTCATAGAGTATATTGCTTGTATTTGTTTAAAGGAATTCCTGACATCATACAACCGTTTTTGAGGATACTTAAACAGGGAAACAATTAAGGTTACTGTGAGGTTTTCACTACAGATGTGCTGTTTCTTTTTCTTTTCCCCCAGAAATTTACCCCAGACAGGACCATGGTACTGTAACAATGTCATCAAACCTGGTGTGGGGGTCTCTGTTGTTTAACACCTGAAACATGTGGCCACTTTTTCTTGACGACAATTTTATCACAAAAGTGTTTCTCTTTACTAAAAATGTATTTGTGCCTAATGTTGATCCTAATATGAGGGAACATTTTTTTTTATTGGAGGTCGTGTTGAAAAGGTGGCCATCTGGTGGAGGAATGTGGTGACGCTTGTTGGCTCAGGTTTAAAATTCAGCAGTCACTTTACATTTTGGTCATGTCTGTGTTTTGCTTCTTTTAATCAATTTATTTTGTTCTTTGCATTTTTTTGTGTCTAAAAAAAGTCACATCACGCTCGGTGCAACTGTGTTATTGTTGGTAAATGGGAAGTGGATTCATGTCAAGCTCAGTAATGGGCTTTTTTTTTTTTCAAATTGAACTGTAAATTATCCAGAGGTGTCAGGTAACAAAGTACAAATACTTTGTTACCTTACTTAAGCAGAAGTTTTGCCTATCTTTACTTTACTGTAGTAATTATTTTTTTAGACAACTTTTACCTCTACTCCTTACATTTTTTTTTTTGCAATTATCTCTACTTTCTACTCCTTACATTTAAAAAATAGACTTGTAAGTTTTATTTCATTTAAGCTCATTATTGTTATGGCCAGTAGGTATTAAAAAAAATAAAGACCCTCAAAATAATTTATTTCATCCAGACAATTTCTTTGTGGTTGGACTTGGTGCTGCACCAACTTGTTTTTCACCACATACTAAAATAAAAAGTTTTTCAAGATGATGCAAAGTTAAATTAGATTAGCTATAAAACTAAGAAAATTAAGTATAAGGAATTTATAGTTTTCCTTGTACTTTTGTGCATTCTCTGATCATTTCTAAACTATGTGTTGAGAAATGACATTTTTTGGAAATGCAATATTGGTGCTTTGTATTGATCAGGACCCAGGAAGAGTAGCTGTTTGCCATGGCAACAGCTAATAGGGATACTTAATAAAATTAAAGATTACAAAATTATGTTTCAGAATTGTAGAAAAATGATTCTTTAATAGGTTAGTGCAGTAACCAATATCATGTTTTAAGCTTCTCTCCTAAATATTTTTTCCTGCATTACTTTTTTTTTTAATACTTAGTATACATAGTTTAAAAAAAGGTACTTATACACTTTTACTTGAGTAAAAAGCTTAAGTTAATACTCTAACTTCTACAAAAGTATTTTTAAACACTAGAATTTATAATTCTACTTGAGTAATAAACTTTAATACTTTTGACACCTCTGGAATGATCTCAATAATTGACCTAAACGTTGTGCTAAACTGTAACCATAGGCGCGGCATTCCTTCTCACTCGTTTGTTTCCATTTTTAACAGGGATGGAAAGTTTATGAAGGTGCGAAATGTGGGTCGGAGTTCAGCGCTAACCCACCCTTCCTGTGACTTTTTTTTGGCAGCCTACAGTGACAGAGGACTTTAGCCATCTCCCCCCAGAGCAGCGCAGGAAGAGGTTACAGCAGAAACTAGAGGAGATTTCCAAAGAACTGCAGAAGGAAGCAGATCAGAGGTTTGTGGGTACATCTGCATGTACACTACAACTTTTTGCCCACTCGTAATCATTGTTGTTTAAACCTGCTGAAAGGACAAATTAGATATCCATGCAGTGTAACTAAGTCTAAGTCACTTGTGTGATACAGACAAGGGCGATATGATTTTCACCAGAAGTCACTTTGCTTCCGCTTCCCCCCTCGTTCCTTTCCTCTTCCTTGTTTTCCTTCACAGTGAGGCACTCGGAAAGATGAAAGATGTTTATGAGAAAAATCCTCAAATGGGAGATCCAGCTATTCTTACAACCCAGATCAGTCAGACATCACAGAATATAGAGCGGCTCAGAGGAGAGCTTAATAAGTATGAGGTAATTCTCTGCCCTGTTCTTTATTCATTAGACAGAAGCTTCCTCTTACTAATTTATATCTAGGCTGCTGTATTGTGAGACGATATAAACCAGCCATATAAGTGAAACTCAACAATAAGGATGTTTCTCCTTTTATTAGACTTGGCTGTCTGAGGCAGGGGTTCGGGGGGACACACTACGATATAGAGCTCACTCTGTTAACAATAACGGAGCTCATGAAGTGCTTAGGTAAGGGACATTTTCTTTCATTAGATATGCATTTAGAAAAAAGTGTTGTTGTTCGATTTCGTATGTGAGTTGGTTTTTCTTTTCCAGTCCTGATGGAGCTCATTCCGATGAAAGCACGCCTGATGCCTCACAAGCTATATATGCAGAGTTTGATGATGACTTTGAGGATGAGGAGCCAGCAAGTCCTATTGGAAAATGCACAGCAATGTATAACTTCCCTGGTATGTCCTATTTTATTTCATAATATCTATAATTGTTCTTTTCATTTTATGTTTAATTCCTCTTCTTCTTATTTTTTTTTATTATTCACTTCTTTTTCCAGGATGTGTTTTTTCATTGCAATGGTAATAGGCTTCCTTACCCTCATTATAACCAACAACAGGCTGTCAGTAGACCAGTGGACTTTGTCCTAAAAAAGTATATATATTTTTTGTAGCAACAGCTGCCTTTTCTCAAGAGTAGCATTTTAGTCCATGTCCATCCACTTCTTTCATTGGGTTACTCACCCTCTCTTACAACCTTCATCGAGCATCTTAGGCATTGGTTCTAAGGTAAATGCAAGTACAAATGCAATGTTGATACTTTACCTTAGTGATTCCCAACCAGGAGTGCTCGTATCCCTAGTGGTGCATTGCAAGGGGTACATGAAAATATTTAATTTCTTAGGTTACAAATTAAAATAAAAGATTAAAATTAAAATAGAAAATTTAAAAAAAAATGTATATATATATATAATATATATATATATATATATATATATATATATATATATATATATGGAAAATATAACAAACTTTTATCAACCAAAAAGTAAATTTTTTCTTGAGTTCACCAAGCAGAGGAACAGACTGGATGTAAAGAACAGTTTGGTATCAGCTGTTTTTCATACTGAGCTATCAGAGCTCTTCAAAGCTGCTCATGTGTCTTGATGAAAATGAAGTAAAACAAATTAATTCAGTCTGACTATAATTTTTGTTCTGTACTTTATTCCCAATTCCTCAAGTTTAAATGTTATTATAAGGAAGCTCCAGTTTTATAAATTCAGGTTTAGATTATAATTTTAATTTGTATTTATTTCGATTCCTTACTGACTTCCAGGCAACATATTTGTTGTTTTTTTATTTGAGTTGGAAATAATAAAATACCTATGAATTAAATGCTGAAATTAAAAGATTAAGTAAAATAGTTTTCATTTCATAATCATTTTATAATTGTACGTTCCAATTTTGGACAATCATTAATACTTTTAAATGAGAGAGATACTCATGGTAAGAAAAAATGCCCAAAGGGGATCACAGTCAAAAAATGTTGGAAAACACTGCTTTACAGGTACAACTTGCCCTATAACTGTAAAGTCTCAATGCTGGACATTCACATGGCATATTTTTGCATAGAATTATTTGAACAGATAAATATGACATGCTTGTTTCTTCTAAAGTCTGCCTGATTTCTCTACAAATTATTTAGCAAATTTGCTAGAAAATTATATTGACTAAAATGTAAATAAAAAATATAAAATCTACTATTTGAAGAAAGTAGTTTCAGTAAAAGGTTGAGAGTGATGAACATTTTTTTTATTAGCAGAGGTACAAAATAACTCAAGATCTTCTTACTCTAAGCTGTATGAAAAGGGAAAGTTTTAAGTCTGTTTTTAAAAGTAGTTTGTAGTAGTAGTGCAGGGGTTAAGCATACTATCCATGTAGTTAGACCGTATAGAGGACAATGGTTTGTTTTTCACTGTCTAACATTAAATTGGACTATAATAAAAAAAAATGCATTTTGTGTTTCAGGTGCTAGTGAAGGAACAATTTCAATGGAGGAGGGGGAGGTGCTTGCTGTAGTGGAAGAAGATAAAGGGGATGGCTGGACCCGCGTCCGGAGGCAAAATGGAGATGAGGGCTACATACCTACTTCTTACGTCACCATCACACTAAACAAATGAGGGAGAAGGAGAAAATTGGACAATCATTTCAAAGCTGTTTCCACCACTGGTTGGAACAATTACAATCACTAAGCCATATCATCAATGAACAGTACATCCAAAAGTGCTATTTTTTTATTTTTTTTTTCGTGTACAGCGAGGCGTTCTATACATGCAGGTCATACTGCTGTGATCCAGTTTACCCACTACATAATCCTTAGTATAAATTCACTATAACATTCTTGCTCACCTCTGTGGGCAAATATTCTTATTAACACTTTTCTTGGTTAGGAAGAACAAATATTTTTATTTTAATTTTGTGTGAAAAACTGATCCATGATGTAGAATCCAGATTATGTTTTACCTCCTTCAGTTCTCATCCGCCTCAAGAGTGTCCGTTTGGATCCATTTTGCCTGCTCAAGATTGGTGCAAGAATCTTCAACATTTAACTTTCAGAAATTTGTCTCATGTAAAAAAATAAAAATAGATAAAATGGAAATAATCTATACAGGAACTGTTTAAACTATACAGACAATCACATTCATATTCTCATTTATATTCAGTCATGCATCAGTAGCAAAGAAAATACAGCAGATGTTATTTTCTTACAGCAGCTGATAGAAACCTGCTGCTGTTTTCTTTTAATAAATATTGTACTAGAGATAATTTATTTCAAGTGTGTTTGAGTAAAAATGTTTATATTTGGAAAAAAAAGAAAACCTTTGTATTTAGGATATTCTGATGTTTATTTTTTTTTCTCCTTGCACAAAGAGTGGGACAGACTGTAGCCACAAAAGGGAGGAAAAATGTACACACAAAATGTTACATTAAGAATATTGTATTTATATAATATATATTTTAGCTACCACAACACCACTATTGTCTTATTAGCTTTTTAACTATACAAATAAAAATGTTTTGTCATAAAAAACACAGTAAGTTTTGATATTTTTGCTTTATACTTTTTATTTACTAAAAGTTCACAGGATGGTCCAAGATTTTTTTTTTTTCTGTAGCAAAGATCATTACTTACCTGCTTAAAATTATTGTCTCTTTGGTGCCTTTCAGATGAAAGCATTGTGTAAAAACCTGTTGAGGTCTTTTTTTTTTTTTGTCTTTTTTTAAAACACTTAATTGTAAAACACATTTCAACAGTAGAAGTCATTATGTTCACTTTGAACTTGAAAAATAAACTAGTGAAACATAAAATAATGGCGTAAAGTGAGTATTACTTCATGGTCACTTATAAAATGATTAATGCTTCTTGAAAGTTTTCCGCACTTGATTATTCTTTCATGGGAAAAATCTTTAACAGAATACTTACAGAATATGCTAAGATACCAAGGTTGTTGAATATAATAGCAAATGCCTCTCCATATAGTATATTTTTTCTACCAATAGTATGATATATAAATTCTAATAATTTATTTTATCTCTCTCAAAATTTGGATGGGCTAGTAGCATCTGAGATTCATTATGTCAGGATAAAAGTTAAAATCTTCATTGAGTCACTAGCGCAAGAGGAAAGAATGAGAAGATATAGGGCAGCCTATATAGATTTAATAGCCCATACAGGTATTAGTAGTAGTTATTCTTCTCAAGTGCCAGGTTTGTTATGTTTATATAATTTACTTTTGTGATTAATAAAGTATTTTTAAACTGAATAGAACTTAAATTGTATTGAATAAGGTTGAAATGTCTGTAGTCATGGCAGTTACAACATCAACTGCCTATCAGATAGACATCAAATGCATGTGAAAGATAGTTGATAGATCTTACTGAGGTATAAGAACACGTCTGAACTGTTTTTCAGTTCTCATCTTCATACCTTTGCTGCTGAAGACATGAGCCACAACACTGCAACTCTGCATACCATTTCCCACCTAAACTTGGATTAAATCGTGTTTAAGTTTGAAGTCCTGTTTAGGTGTCATTTGCTATAGTAAAAAGTGCTATTTAAAGAATGATAACTTCAGAAAAAAAATCTAAGAAAAAGCCTGGAGATGTACAGTAAGTGCCTTCAGGGGGGCAATATTACACTTAATAACTGCAAATGAATTAAAACATGATTGAACGCTGAAAACCCTTGCTCTTTATTTATTTTTTGAGTTTTTACGGCACTAGTGGCCCCGTTTTTCTGACCGTAGGCTAAAAGGAAAGCCGGTATGAGAGAGGGGAAGAGACATGCCACAAAGGACTACAGGCTGGATTCGAACCCCGGATGGCTGTGTTCAGGACTAAGGCCCCCATACATGGGTCACTAACAATCAAAATGAAGTGGCTCAATCAGACAGCAAATCGAGTGACGGTAAAAGATAATTTTTATATTTAGACCAAGTGAATGCTTTGATCTAAATCATTCCCTTGTCTTTTTCTCTCTACTCTTAAGAAACATTTTCCACAGGATGACGCTGCCACCACCATGTTTTGCCATGCAGATAGTATTTGAGGTTCGTGAATTTCTGCCACCTGTAGTGTTTTTGCATGTTTAAAGGATTTATTTTGATCTCCTATAACCAACATACCTTTTTCCACATTTGCTGTGTACTATACATTGTGAAAAACATATAGAGTTAACTTCTTCTGGATATCTTTCCAGAAATTTGCCACTCTTACATAGAGACCAAATTTTTGGAATTTAGGTCAAATAGCAAAAAGATTCACCTGCCTCAGTTGTGGATTCCTACTGCTCCTCCTGACCTTTTTGGATGGCTCTTTAATAGAAATTGTTCTATCGCCCCACCATTCGATTTAGGAGACATATCTTAGAAGCTTTGGAGTTGTGTCACACTATTTACATTTGTACATGGTGAATTTAAGAGTGTGAGAGTTTCAGAACGTTTGGGGATATTGATATTTTATAACATGAACTTGATTAAAACTTTTTCACATTTCTATTTCACAAAATTAATGACCTGTCTTTTTCCCCCACAATCTTCATGATGCTGTTTGTTCATTAATGTTAAAGAAAAAATAAATAAACAAAAAAAAATAAAAAAATTAGGCCTTCATTAAACAGTCGGATTTGAAGAGAATTAAGAAACAGCTTTACTCCAGTTACTATTCTGTTCAGACGATCAATTGTTTTGGATTAGGTTAAATAGGTCTTAATAGATAAGTAAGTCACAATTTTTTTTCATTTTAATTTGTAAAAAAACCCCCAAACAAATTGAAAATCATATTTTTCCCCCTCCAATAAAATATAAAGGTTTTAGTTTTAATGTGTAAAAATTTCAAAGATATGATTGCTTTTAGGAGAGACTATATATTGTGAATTTGCCATAGTGCTCTGGTCGAAATGCATCACATATTGGAAATTTAACTCAGAGACACAGAAATAGTGTGTTTTTCTTAAGACAGTATATCCCATGAATAGTATTTTTATGTGTTCTTTTTATCTTCGAGCCATCATTACTTAAGTCTAGACATCACATCTATATTAACAGCTCCAGTAAAAAAACTGAGCCCAACATATGTTTGATAAATCTCCAGAATCCAGAGTTAGATTCAGCAATGTTGCAGAATATTACTTCTTAGAAGTGAGTTGGTATGAAAGGTCTTACATTTTATTGCCATTAGGTGGCAATATTGCATAATTCCTTCTTTTTTTTCTCCTTTTTTTTTCCTTTTCTAGTTCCATAAGATTGCATTTGTGATTGAATTGGATTGGGTTCATACACTTTTAATTAGTAATTAAATGATCCAAAGTTCACAAGCTGCCACTCTATTGGTATCTTACTCACAGTGAAAGCAAAGTGAAGAGAATTGCACAGATAGATAGATAGATAGATAGATAGATAGATAG